GTTTAGTTATGGTTCCATTTAAATAGCAATGTTTATAATTCGAAGAAATAAAATATATAAGAGGTAAAACAAAATTTTGAGGTTATTAACTGTTATACAATTATTTGTGACAGTTTTAATTATAATAGCACCTTTCTAAATATTAATCATACGAATTGCAACATATTTCGAATTAATAACAAACTAATAACGCTTTGGAGCAAAGCATCCATCCAAATATTAAATATTTTTTTAAATTAATAAATCCAACATAATTGCACAACTTTATTCACGGATTGTTGGTCCACTTTAACAATAATTGATATTGTTTATCGCAAAATCAATATTTTAGTGTTGATTTTATTTTGATTAAATTGATAATCGAGTTTGCATATTTATTTTATTAATAAAGTGTAGTTGGCAAACAGGCATAATACTCTAATATTAAATAAATTTAATAGTAGTAAAGAAAAGGGGGGGGGGTCCTATACAATTTTAAGTTATCATTTATTGTATTAAACTTTTGTTACATAATTTTTAAAAATAAAGATACCTATACTTGTTTCTGTGTATCTAAAAAGTATTAATTTTACTAATATCATTTTATAACGACCACTTAACTAATTTTAACTAACTATACCTGTTAGTTTGATTAAAGGAAATGAGTTCATTAATTTCAATGCTACCATTTTTATTTTAAATATTTATAATGTAAAATGCAACACACCAACTCATTCATCTAAATATTATATATATTTTTTAAACAAATATATCGAATAGAGTTGTTCAATTTTATTCATTGATGCGCTCTAACAGTAATTGTTTATCTCAGTATGACAAATTTATTCTGATTTTGTTTTGATTTAATTGATAATCGATTTTCTGCAGTTGGCATGTTTATTTTATAAATAAAGTGCAGTTATCAAACATTCAAAGTGATCTAATATAAATTAAATTTTATATATTGCAGTAGATTTATACATTTAACAATTTATCTCAAGAATAATTTTTACTGGTAATATTTACCAATGCTTATTTTGTGACATTGAATAAATAAAAGTAACGTAATCATCACAATTTATACTAATTTTAAGAACAAACCACCCCACCCATTTATTTAAATTCGTAGATATTTATCTTATTATTAACTTTAACGATATTATTCTCTATCAAGTATTAATGATAATATTTGTGTTAATGCTACACTGAAAAAATTAAAAGCAAATACTAAAAGACCTTTAATGAAGAATTTATCCAAATATTACTTTTGAACTGTGTTTACAAATAGTATTATTATACTATTCAAAAGTAATATTTGGATAAATTCTTCATTAAAGGCTTATTATATTTAATAGTTTCATTTTAATAATATAATATAATAATCATTTAATATTACAGTTATTTATTTGATTATCATAATAATAGTTAACAATTTTTGTACAACAGAAAATATATATAAATTCTTGTTACATAATTTTTATTAGCACGATTGGCACTTTTTTGTTTGGTTACGTTGTGTTTAGCGTGTTGTTCACCTAAATGTAGTTTATCTAAAGATATAATAGTATGGTAATTTTGGTAAAATAAGGTTTCTTAGTTAAGGTGTGGTGTTCGTTCAAAACATAATTAATAAGATTCACAAGTTTCTCAATTTTAAAAATAATTAAGGTAATAAGAGAGCACATATCTGAAAAAAACTGTAAGTTTCGTTTTGCTAAAGTCATCAAACTATGGCCGCTAAGTTCAATTAAGTTATTTGTTCAGGTCTAGGGGTAGGACTAAAAGAAAAAGCGTTAGCTCCATTGAAGAACAGCCTAATCTATGGTGTTATAAGGAAGAAAATCAATATGGCGCCTGCCCGGCGTTGTCTTCATATATGCAGTCACGCTACCTGTATTGCAAGTTATGTTTTCGAAGGGCCTTCTCTGTTCTTTTCAGTGGCGTTTAAACCAGTGAACTGTTCGCGCGCTCGTACAACACTGAAACCGATCGTACATCTTCGTTAGCTTTCGGGTCCCTTACGAATATATGTGTCTGGTTCTTGGGTTTCTCTATCGGCCTTAACTTAATCAAGCGGCTGTTCTCCTTTTTATAGCACGTTCTCCTTATCGTTGTGTATGCATCGTATTCTTCAACCGTTTTTTTTCTTAGCCAGACAATATATTTTTCTGAACAATTTTATTTAAGAATTCACAGGGTTATTCTGCACGTTCTTGCCGTGCGTTGTTTAATTCAAATAAGGGAGAGAATAAGAATATTGTCCATCGCATAGAGATATTAATTTAAACTTGCTCTAGAAAATTTGTGATAATAAATAAAATGTCAGTCAAGGCTTTATTGTTTTCTTTGCTATTTAGTAAAATAGTAACTTTAAGTAGTTCTTGCTATGTATTTCCTAAGGGTAAGTTCGCGCGCAACTTACACTTTTAACTCGGTATACGCGGTGTAAAAAAACTATAAGCTAATTTTTTTCCAGATGATTACAAAAAAATGTTTTGAAAGTTTATCTCTAAAATTATTTTTTGTAGTTTTATTACACCTTGTATAATAGAATGTTAAATAAGTATTAATGAAAATAAATAAAACGATATTTAATTAGTCAGAATATAATTTTTACATTACACAAAACTCAAACATTTTCAGTTATAGAGTTTGTCAAAAAATAAGTTTATCTTGAGACCTACAGTAGTCACACGTACTCCAATTCTTTATCAGATTTTTAACGCTCATTTTGCTTTTTACCTTTTGACGCTATTTTTGCTGTCTATTTATCCATCTTATTACTTATTACTACCTTCTTATTATCCTTCATACAGGCACCAAAAACAATAAAAATACATCAAAATTGTAAACGAAGCAGCAAAAAAAGTAAAAAGGCACCTAAAACATAAATTAAACATGTATGTGACAACTAAGCTGAAAAAAGCAATAAGATAAATGGTACGAATGACTCACCAGATAGACATGGAAATGTTACACCTATTTTGTGGCAATTTAAATTAAAATACTGCTTTAGATATATCTTTTCAAATAAAAATTTATTCAAGTGGCTGTTTAATGTTAAAAAGAATAAAACATTTAAGATCATAGTAGGTATATTTTTATTTTACCTTCAAAAATATTTCAACGTGGATAAAAAGAGTTGTATAAAAATATTGGTGGTATTTTATGGAAATCGGTACTAGGAAAAATAAAAGAAAATAAAATTAAAAATAAATGCAAAAAATGTATTAAATGCAAAAATGGGCCTATTCTAAGATGAAAGTAATATTTAAAAATGCTGTTTAAATTTTTAAGGAAGTTCTTCTGCTGCGTCAAATTATAAAACGGTCTAATTTGCTGGAAGATATTTTTAGACTCCCTTAAATCGAATTTAAAGAATTTACGAAATATTCTAAGTAGTTGTTTCTAAAACGAAACATTCTTTACATAAATTCTCCAGTTTCATGTTATGTAAATAAAATTGTTAATATATTTGTAATATTTTTCAGAAACGGTTTCAGATATTTTTTAGAATTTAAAATGACACTTATTCCAAGTACATTGGAATTTTCTTTGGAATGCTAGTTGCTAAATTAAGACCTGAATTATTTAACTTATTTTACAATTTATTGACTAAGTAATAGGTTTGTCAAAGGCATCAAGCAAACTTTGGAGTATAAAGAAAATTTGCTGTACGTAATCCCAATCAAAAAAGATTAAACGAATTTATAAAACAAAAGTCAGATGTTGGATGCCATTTCTTCTTAAATAATATTAATTAAAGAAACCAGTCTAATTTAATTATTTCGAATAGAATTGGAATCAAGGGATGCTGCTAAATTAATTAAAAAGCGATTTACTGAATATTGTGTTTTAAAAGTTTAGATTATTCGAGATTTAACGCGAAATTAAATGTCTTAAGTTTTCTTCGTTTTTATCGACTTCCTTTTTCTGGTAAAAGTGTTTTTAAAACCCAGACTCGGCAACGATAGGAAATCTTTATTGGCTAATTTTACTTTGCTTTATTTTAAAATGCATTTCCTTTTTATTTTACCTTGTACCATAAAATCTAAAAAAAAATAACGTCATAGTTCGCTTTGAAACGAAGATTGATGCCATTTTATATTTAAAATTATACAGTGAATGACAGCGAATGTCATTTTCAAACTAACACTGACGCAGTCATGATTATTAAGGAGGATGTATTCTGATCTACAGTGGAAGGGTAATCTAAAACAATTCCGCCAGTTAACGTACACAATATAAGCCACCAGCAATGTAATTTAGAAAAGAAGTTGACTATGTCATCCAAAAATCTCATACAGTAAGCTGGATTCTTCTTTATGATGTTCCATTGTATAAACCAATACAATCATTTCTATGTTCCTTCTCAGTCCTATTTTGAAGCCTTTCCTACCTCTATTTTCTATTTTTTGTTTTCTCTGTTCGACTATAAGACTACTGATACTTTTAAAACAGGCTTAATGATGTAATGGATTGCGGAATTAGAATTTCTGGTACTTTGTACGTACCCTGTATACATTAGGAGAATGGTAAGAATTGGTAATGTTACATTAGATTATATAAAATAAACTGGTCAATGGAGGCTCATAAATATCACTTATAGGTCCAAAATGCTTTTGCGGTGCTCCAAATTAACAGAATAAATTAACAAAAATTACCTTAAGTGGGTTTATTAAAAGAGCATTGCAAACTCAATAGTTATCTAAAGCTGATGGTATTGATAGCCTGGCAAATGTGCTGTTGTTCATTGTATTAAGCCATGTTAATGGTATATGGAGGATGTAGACATCAATACATCGCCAAAAATATCACTGCTCTTTGGTGGGATACTGCAAAATTTCTTTAGCCCATTTGCAATTTCAAAAATAAAACTTAAAAGATGTATAAAAAACGCAACAATAAAATTGCAATTATTGAAAAGTTAATGATACATTTGTAAAACCGAATGTGTTTTCTTGTTTTAGCTTGTGGAGTTTGGTGATAGATGGTTGCATAAACCTTTTTTTTTGTTTCAGTCGAGAGCGATCTGTGCAGAGACAAGAATTGCGGTTTCGGAGCCCGATGCGTTGTGAGCCCGGACGGCCGGAACGTCAGCTGCGTCTGTCCGGAGAAATGTCACAACTATGGCGACCACGTCTCCTCTCATCCCCTGTGCGGTTCCGATGGCGTCGACTACAAAAATAAGTGCGAACTGGATCGGGCTGCCTGCAAATCAAATACCAACATCACAGTTAAATTCAACGGCAAATGCGGTTCGTATTGATTGGTCGAAATGGGCCGGTTGCCGCCGCTCGTGTGGCTTCCGATATTAAGCTTATTGTTTTTCGCTTTTTCAAACCGATACTGGAGCCGAACACAACAGGCCGCGGGCTATACAGAGTCCTGCAACAGTGTCATTTCGGTCATCCGAGGTGTTAACGAAAAACGCCTTATTTGATACTTGAACCAGTTAAAGTATTTTTTGATAATATAATATTTGTAAATGAAATTGCAGCCTATTCATTCATTTGACAGTCCGTCGCCTTACGATCTTATACAGGAAACTCTAACTATTCTCTTATCTTATATTATATAACAAGCCAGATTTTGAGCTCTATTGAAGCTACGTTAATACACTGACCGGCACGAAAATGATGTATTTTAAAGTTTCATATATTGGGTTCAAGTGGACCGATTTTGATGATATTTTAAGCAATTTGTAGCTAAATTATTTGACTATTTAGTATCTCTTTCTAAATTAAAAATGAAAACAAAAGTAAAACAAAAAAGGTGCCCGGTGGCGTAGAGGTACAGGTTCTGGTCTACCAATCTGAAGGTAGTGGGTTCGAATCCCACACCCGGCATTTCATCAGCCGACTATTTTTATTAAAATAAAAATAGTTTGGGTACCTAGGTCTACTCAGCTTTAAATGAGTACTTGGGAGTCACAATCCTGAGGTAATAAGAGGCGGTTGAAGCGTAGTGCTAGCCACGTTACCTTCCGTGTATACCGAACGGCTCTAGTATGGCAAGCTGTACCTTGCTACTCCCAAGGCGTTAAACGCTATATACGGAAGCTATTATTATTAAAACAAAATTAAAAATTCCCACCTATCAATTATACGACGGAAAGCAAAATGATATTATTATGTATATATGTTATTTTGGTGAAAGTTTGGAACACCCTGTGAAATATGTTAAAGAAGCAAGTAATTTAAAAGTTATTTTACTATCTAGGTGCAATTTTTTCAGACTTTTTTATTAAATGGAAACTTTCATTTTTAATTTAGAAGGAGGTACTAAAAATTCAAATAATTTAGCTACATATTGCTTAAAAAATCATTAAAATAGGCCCACTAGAACAAAATGTATTAAATTTTAAACTACATCAAAAATTTAATGTGCCCGTTTTTCGTGCCGGTGAGTGTTTTTGGTGCTCTGGCATCTGCATGTGTACCAGAACAACCCAGATTTGTTAAGCGTAGGCACTCAGGAATAAGCGAAAATGGCTAGCTGGCACTGAATGGGTAGTGGTGACACTATATTTTCTTATAGTTCTCCAAATAAGGCAATATAAGGTGTTTTTGTTTCTCATTCAATGATACTTGTGTTTCAATTGCAGTAAAGCGTTTGCTTTAACACGGTAGTATATGTCCCACAATAAAGGACTCTTTCAAGAGTAAATTTTTATTATAGCCACCTCAACACTGTGTTTCTCACACTTCACTTGCAGGACCCTGTATAAATACACGACGATAATAAAATATTTCCACAAAATGTCATTTTTGAAATATAACCATCTACTTTTACTCACATTGTACTAATATATTCACATAATTTAAATCATTTGATAAAAAGAACAGTATATTAGTTTGTGCAATGATTTCGTTGTCACCTGATATAACTGTTTCATTTATATATTTGTTTTTTCTGTTTCGATAAAGCCTAATATCAGGTTTCCTGTTTCAGAATTTAAGTTTTTAAAAGAAATCTGCATCAAAAATTTTAAAAATCCCTTACACAAAAAAATTCAAAATTAAAGTTCTATTTTGTTGAATATACAGGGATGACATAATATACATTGGACTATGTTAGAGAATATTGAAGTATATTTATTGAAACAATTATTATCGTATAACCAGACACTTACTGTGTCGTACAACCTCTTACAAATTTGGACGAACAAATTTTCGTGCAAATTCGGATCCAGTTTAACCGCCTCCTAATATCTTTAATAGAGTTTCCTAAACAGCGAAAAAATTACATCGACCTCGTTTAATACAGCGCTAAACAATAAAGCTAAAGGTAGCATTTAATTGGTTTCAGATCCTTGTTCTGGTGTGGAATGCACGGAGCCGGAAATATGCCAGTTAGACGCTCAGCGTAATCCAGTGTGCCGTTGCGGCGATACCTGTCCCTTAGAATTCACTCCGGTGTGCGGTTCAGATGGAAAAACCTATTCCAACGAGTGTACTTTGCGACAAGAGGCTTGCCGGACCAGGAAAACCCTCAATATTATTTACCGAGGAAAATGCAGTTCAGGTCTCATATTTATTTCGCTTTAACTCAAAAATACTGCGAATTTATCAAGGAGAAAGGGATATTCTTTACATATTCTTCTTGTGTATATTTCCATCCATATTTGTTTTCTATTTTTACTTGGTACTTTGGCAGTATTATTCAGTGTTTATTGTGCCTTCCGCTAAGCATGCTTTACAACTAGATCTAGTGAACTAAAAAAGTAACAAGATACTCTTCCTATTAAACCCGAAGTATCAGAAAGTGGAACATATGTTATTTAGAAAGAATGAACACCTAGAGAAATATATTTACATTGAAACATTAAAAGTTTAGTTAGACTATAGAATGTAGAATTAGTGGGAGGGGGGTTAATCACCGCAACTTTAAAGATCCATTGTTTCTCCCTTTCTTGAGTTATAACTCATCATACATGAGGATATTCTTGTTGTAGGGGGGACAGGGTATTTCCTATCCTCCTCTGACATCAGACATCTAACTCCTCCGAGGGCATACACACTTCCACGGCTTGGATTTCTCCACCTCTTTAAATTGGTCTCTGCTTCGATCTGATACCGGTGTTGTCCCGAATCTCTTATAGAGGATATGTATCTCTTGTACCTTTCTAGAGGAGGTGATAGCTTGTATGCCACTTTTGGTGGCTGGTCTCACGCAAGTGTCAGCTCACTCTCCTCTAGTTCCCTTGTTCGGTCCCTTGGAACTTGCAAATCTAAATTAGATCCTACAAATATTTAAAGAACTTTGATAAATTTGGTACTGATACTAAATTTATAATATCAGTCTCAAGGGACATCAGAAAAGTTCATTAACTGGCAACGAAGAAAGACTTACTTTGAATATATCTCTAGTGAATAAACTATTTTGTATGTCCACAAATTCATTACAGCCGAATAATCAGTGGAAGGGAAAGTTTGATGTATCGAGTCCTTTTACGTAAAGAATGACGAATCCGAACTTCAAAATTACCATCCGAATCGTTTTAAAATATCCGACGCTAATCAAATCCCGTTCTTGCTAAAAGTGGTCCCGAAAACGAAAATTGGATCGGGCAACTATTTTCATTCTTCCGAAGAGATTTCCAACACAAAATTCGTTTAGCTGAGTCGGGCCTGATTAATTTGTAACACTCAATTATTAGTTTCAATCGGATAGACTCCCCGGCACAACTTACAAGAAAAACCGGGATGCCTCGAACCCCTATATTTCAGACTTTCTGGATTTTCCCGATTTAAATTTGCTTAGTCCCGGATATTACAATGGGCTCGGCTTATTAGGTTAAAAAGGAAAATAATTAAATTCTATTTTAAGGCTTTGTTCACGATAAAAAAATAACAGAAACTTCCTTAATGAATTATACCGGGTGCGTCTCAAAAGTGGCTCACCCTTATAAATTTTTTATTTTTTCAGATAAAAAAACGAGACTTGGTATGTTAGTATATGAAATAAATTAGGACTGATTGATGTATTCAATTATTTTTGGTCACTTCCTGTTTCACCGGAAATGACAACAACTTTTGATTTTTAAATGACAACCTCGGTATTTTTTTACTGTATCCGATAGAAAATGACACTCTGAATAAAATGACATATCATATGTCAACTTTTGACATTTTCGTATATGGCTTGAAATTGTAACATGCGGTTCATAACGACAATTTGTCTCGAAATAGTAGTGTGTGGTACCAAATTATTCTTAAAAAATGTTCTTTCCAAATATGCAAATGAGCCAACCTTGTTAGATTTGAAAAAATTGAGATATGATTAAAAATACCATTTGGGCATCTTTTAACCGGCTAAGACAAGACACAAAAAACATTAGACGATCAAATCTATTTTTCTAAGGCACCTTGATTAAAAATTAGTGTTTTTAACAGAGCCTGTTAAATGACTATTTATTGTTTGTTAAATTTTTCGACCTTGTTGGTTAAACGACCATTTCCCAAATGAATGAATTGGGACCAATGGATCTATACGATGGCATCCCTGATCCCCGGATTTGTCGAAGACCTAGATAATGCTATCAGGCAATCTTTTAAATAGTTGCAGACCCATCCCGGTATAATTAAATAATTTCAGTTCATATTTTGAAAAATATTTTTTTAGAGAAAAGGCATACTATACCACTGTATTCTACATGAAAAGTTCTAACAGAATCAGTTTTTACCTTCTCGATACCTTTTACAATAACGGAGATACAGGAATGTCTCAAATTGCAAAACCTTCGAAAAGACCTTGTAGCTCAGAAACGAAGAGAGCTATCAAAATTTTGTTTACAGCATGACAAAAAATTAAAAAAATTAATCTTCCCATCTTTACTAATAAGGGAGATCCCGTATGATTTCAATCAAAATGGGACACCCTGTACATCTGACCAAAACATTGTGCAAGTCAGACTAAAAATATGACAATGGAAGTCGGAATTTCTTTTGTATCACTGAATCATAGCCTTTTATAAGTTGTTATGAAGTTATTATGAAGTTAAAACTAAAATAACCGTTTTCTTTCCAGGCATAAATCCGTGCATGACCGCCCGATGCACCTCAGGCCAAGAATGTTCGATAAACAAATACGGAATAGCGGAATGCGTGTGCCCGCCAGAATGCGAGCCGACAATGAGGCCAGTATGTTCCAAGGACGGCCGGACATTCCCGTCCGAGTGCGAGCTGAAAAGAACGTCCTGCCTGGCCAGGACGACGATAGAAATCGCCTACACGGGCCTGTGTGGCGAGAAGGGCCCCTGCAGCGATCACGAGTGTCAATACGGAGCCACTTGCGTCGAAAGATCGGGCACAGCGCACTGCGAGTGTCCCCTATGTTCGTCTGAGTTCGATCCCGTCTGCGGCTCAGATGGTATCTCTTACGGAAACGACTGTAAACTGAAACTGGAGGCGTGCAAGCACAGGAGGGACATAACGGTCCTATACGAGGGGCCCTGCAGTAAGTCCTTATAGGTTATGGCGAGTTTTACGAGTTTAAATTAATACAGAGGGTTTAAATTAAAACCATAGACCATACAGTACCTAGACATGTTCTTTCATAGTCTTATTTCGGTTAAATATACTTTGTTTAATGTGTTTGAAGATCGATTGAAGTATTTTTGTGCCACATGATTGTATATGAAAGATCTAAAGGAAAAATCTAATAATGTGACAACTACTATACCTGTAATATTTATGTTTTGTAGGTTTACTAATTACAGTAACAGGAAATAACATAAATACTAAACTTTAAAAATCAGAAAAAAAAATAATAAAAATGTGAAGCCTAACAAAATAAAAAATTAAAAAAGTTTATGGCACGAACGGTTGTTGCCTCGGCGGACTCAGTGATTAGGTGTTCTGGTGTTTCCCCATCTTCCCCACAGAATCTGAATTCGCCGTTCTTTTTTAGTTTCAATCTACTGAGGTGTTTAATGAGGAGACAATCCTGTTAAAAACCCTGTGAACATTCGAAGATTGCTCTTACTTAAATCAAGAAAAATATTTGATTCTTCTCGGTCGTAAGTCCTGAGGAATTTCTTCGATTGTCTTAGACCGTTGGAGGATTCCAGATTACGCATGGAGGTCTGCTTTAAATTGGTTTCCACTCCAAACGGTTCTGGTTTAGTTAATCGGGGGCTAGTCTGCTTTGCTCTTGATTAAGACAATAATTAACTATATATGTATATAAAAAAAATCTAGGAAAAAAATAAATAATTATAGTAATAATTAATTATATAAAAAAATCTATTGTCAATTATGTTTCAAAAGATTTTCAAAAATTCGAATTCCCAGCATTTCTTAAACATATCTTTGGAAGAATGACTTACCATCTGTATTTATTGAGGACTTTTAAATATATACTTATAAATAATACAGTTTATACGTCACATTGTGCACTCACGACAAATTGCAAATAATTCTATTCTTTACAAACGTGTCTAGTTATCGTACGTATGGTCTAAGAGGTTTCACCGAGGAGCGATTTAAGCACGTTTCAGTTTTTACTGTTATGGCTCTTTTCTAATTTTGTTTAATATTAAATTATCTCTCGCCGTTGAGATTTCCAGTTTTACGTTGTTTCCCGGTAGAAATATGCCATTTACTAGATTATTATTAAATGTGGTTTAACAAGAGCAACTCTTTCATGGCATTTTATGTCTTTTATAGTACTACATGTCTTGTAAAAGATGTATCTGTCTAATACTTCCTTTATATAACTTTTTTCTTTTGCACAACTTAATCTATACATATTTGCCGTATATATAACAAACAAAGAAAATACTAGCGTGATTTCTATCTCTTTAAAAGTATATTTTCACGTATTTTGCCCTTTTTGCTTTACAACAGTATAAATCATAGACTGTGTTTCTATTTTCAGATGGATGTGAAAACAAGAAATGCGATTTTTATTCAGTTTGTGAAAGTGACGGAGTTACGGAAGGAAGATGTATATGCCCGCAGAAATGTACAGATATGAAGGTATAGTTCGACAGTTTTTTTCTTTAAATAAGCTTGTTTTTTTTTCTTTAAAGTTACGTAACCATCTATATTTTGCAATTATTACTTACTTTTTATTTTTAAATTCCTTTTTTAAAGCTCGAGAGAAAATACTTGAGGCATATATATTTAAAAAATATGAATTTGGATTATAAAAACATATGGTTGGAGATAAATTATGATGTTTTATTTGAAACTGTTTAGAAAAAATAGATCTATTTTTGACTCACTGTGTAATACCACGCAAGGTAGCGTTTTAATGATTAATTTAAAAAAATTGAACTATTATACAGTAAGTACATTCAGTAAAAAAGTATCAATAATTTCTTTAACCATTCTCAAGGAACTTGACCGCATAAAATTAATTTTAAAAGTTATTATTCTATTTTTAGAACTGCATTGTTTCAATTCGACAATATTACACCAAATTATATTTTAATTAAAGCTCACATCGTTTTATTTTATTATCTATAATTTCAGTGGCTAATGGAGTTATTTATTAATATTGTTTATATAATTGCATATCATTTTAATATTATGAGACCGCATAAAAGAAATTATACTAAAATTTAATTTATACGTAACTTTTTCATAACGTAACAAAACCCTGAAATGTAATATTTTAATAAAATACTAAATTATCAAACCCATATATGTGTAAGTGTTTGACGGAAAGTGGTAAAGTTAAACTTCAACTTCCATTAATAAATATTTGAATACCGGGTATTAAGTTTCAGTATTGTTTTTCGGATTAAAAATTAAATACAAAATTTCCGGCTGTTGTTTTAATTTTAATCACGTGTTATAACCGTTACAGATTACTTTAGTCTTCTCTCTATGATAGGTCAAGAAACATATTTTAGATAGAATTGTTAAAATTAGAATGGTTATAAGGATATCCCATTCCAACACTTTTTCTATCAAGATACGCTGTCACACTCTAAAGAATTAATCAAAGAGATATACGCTGAACTTGAAATCGATTTGCAACAACAGATTCAACGATGCATTGTCCTATTTCCCGAAAAAGAGTAACAAAACTCTCCTCTGCAAAAGCCAAAGTAAACAGATTTTCGCCAGTGATTGTTTGTCCTCAGCTGGGCTTTGATCTCTCAAAACATTCAAAGAGACGTTACACGTGCTTTTGGTGTTTCCATATCTCCCATGATAATAAGAGGGCAACTAAAATTTTATCGCAGTACGACACTGTTCCGTTATATTTTCATGCAGGATACGGCATCAAAAATTCGGTACAAATACAAATAAAACACTATTATGGATATTATAACATGTAAAAAATATTACACAGTTATGTTTGAGTTGATTCAGCATAATCAACAATCAGCCTTTAATAAATCTACATAATCGATTTATACCGGGTGCGTCTCAAAAATGGCTCACCACTATAACTTTTTTATTTTTTCAGTTAAAACAACGAGATTTGGTATGTTAGTACCGTATGATCGAATAAAAACGCCGTCAGCGATGGCTATGAAATGAAGATCGCTGTCATTGTATATGTAAATTTATATGGGAAATGTCATCGATCGTCATTTCCAAGCCAACTGGACGCCGTTTTTATTCGATCATACGGTATATGACATAAATTAGGATTAATTGACGTATTCATTTTTTTTCGGTCAGTTCCTGTTTCACCAGAAATGACTACAATTTTTGATTTTTAAACGGCACCCTTGTACTTTTTATTTTTTTTTATGGAAAATGACATTCTGAATAGAATGATGTATCATATGTCAACTTTTGACATTTTCACATATGGCTAATTTGACATTATAACTTGCGGTTCGTAACGAAAATTTTTCACTTGAAATATACCAACTGTCTGGTATTAAATTATATGCTTTTTCCAAATATGCTAATGAGCCACCCTCGTTCCATTTGAGAAAATTGAGATATGATTAAAAATACGATTTGGGCATTTTCTAACTGGCCAGGACAAGACACTAAAAACATTACACGATGAGATCTATTTTTCCAAGGCTCCTTGATTAAGAATTAGTGTGTTTAACATAGCCATGGCACTCTAGATTGAATTTTAAAATACGATTTTTCATTAAGCGAGAATGTCAAAAGTTGACATATGATATGTCATTCTATCCAGAATGTCATTTTCTAACAAATAAAGAAAAAAAATACCGAGAGTGCCATTTAAAAATTATAAGTTGTAGTCATTTCCGGGGAAACAGGAAGTGACCAAAAACAACTGAATACGTGAATCAATCCTAATTTATGTCATATACTAACATAGCAAATCTCATTTTTTATCTGAAAAAATAAAAATGTTATAGAGGTGAGCCACTTTTGAGACGCACCCGGTTTATAATATTTTTAAGGCGAACCATTTTTTGAAAGAAGTCTATATAACATTGATTTTCATTCACTCTATATAAATAAAAACAGTTACATAAAAAGCATTTCCTATTTTTAAAATATTTTGTTTGTATTTTTCCTTTAAGCTCTGTCTACACATAACATTTTACGTGTCAGTTAAAATGGTCGGGCAAGACGGATTAAAGAATAGGATGTCAGATAAAGAACACTGGATGTTTTCGGCTACAATTTTAGATCAGTTTTTTGTACAGGTCATGTAGGTCAACAACACTAGTTTTATCAGTTATAGCATTGTGTTTAGTTGAAGTTGAAGTGAAAACATTGAATTTTAATACAAAATTATATTTATGGTTTAAATGTCATTTGTAAACACTCAAAACTATTTGTAAAAATAGTAAACTATTAATTAAATTAAAAATAGTATTCTATTCACTTGGTAATACCCATTAAATATCTTTGTGAAATTGTAAAAACATTAGATTTATAAAATAAATTGCTGTAATATATCCATATTAATTTTTGTAAATATACCTACTTATATTTTATCAGTGTAGGTAGAACTGAGTTATATTGTAAAACTGAATGATTCTGTCGGTTCTACAGACTACAGTTTTCTCTCTTAAATCAGTTTAAGAAAAACGTTCCATTTTTTTGTCTACACACAGTGTTTTATTTCACACGTTTTTTTATTGAATAGGTAAGATAATTGAGAGAAAACATATTTCTAAAAATACATTAATAAAGATTTCAGATATAACTTACACAGAAACCTTTAATAAATTGCACGATCTTCTGAATAGTTTTAAAACTGACAGGAAATGCCAAGTTATCGATCTCGTCCGGTTCAACTAGGAAATAATTCGTTTTGCGGTCTATCCCCCATTCATAACTAACACCAAAGGCCGAAGGTTTTAATTAAATCGAAACAAATCAAAAAAGGTTTTTAAAATCAGCTTAGGAAAGGCTAGCGTCGGGAACTAATGCCCGTAACGCTAATGAGAAAGAATTGTATTCAAATTAAACCGTACGTATTTCAGCCACGTTCGGATTTATTGATACTATATATTTATATTCCGAAACTGTTTCATTCCATTGGCTACTGCAGAGATGATACTTAAATGCATTTGTTTTTCTTCGGTTAAACGACGGTTCTGTTTGCTGTAAAGAGGTTAAAGGAGGTTACACGGGCTAGAGGAGTACACACACTACGAAATTATAATACATAAGTGTATTATCATAGTATTATGTTACCAAACCAAACTGAGTATTGGACCAGTGAATGTCGTATTTTAAAGATATTTGTCTACTTTTAGTAATTGTGAACATTCACTGATGTCTATTTTTTACTGAAATATATATACTAGGTTCGGCAAGGTTTGCTTTTGGGTCGAGAATTCCGAATATAAGTAGAGTACAATGCATTTATAATGAATTGAACAAAGAGAGAAGAGTAAAAACGTTGCCAAACCTATAAAATAAACCGAGAAACTGTGCACAATTCTTAGAGACGGGGAAGGGGATATGGCAGTTTTTTTTAATTTTTTGAATGGAAAAACAAAGAAGCCTATCAAATTTTTCTCATTTAAACATGTTGTCTAAGATCTGAACTTCAAAATAAAAAAAATGAATATCTGAAATGGTTCTTGAGTTATCACGTGTTATGTGTTAAAATTACTGCGATTATTGACGTTTTGTCATTATAAAAATATTTTGTCGTTATAAAATAATATATCGTATGGTGTTAATTTACACCATACGATATTCTTATAACTCGATTTCAGATGCCCAGAAACATCTAATGATGTTATCTAGTTATCTTTCCGAAAAAAAAACTTCAAAAATAAACTTCTTTCGATCAGGATGTGTCCTGTGTCTCTGATAAATGTGGCAACGCCGCAATAGCAAACCGATGCATTTTTCTCGCTCCGACTTAATAATATCCCTACGCGATTCACTTCCACACATGTAAATATCAACTTGCAAGAGCGGTATATTAAGAGATATGGATTAATAAACAATATCTATATTAAAAAGCTACTTGAGAATGTATATGTTAATTTTTTGGTTATTTTTTTATATCTTACATTAATTAAAGATTTTAAAAAGTTACTTGAGAATATGTTGATATTTGAAAAATGAATTTTGATGAGGAAGAATTCGATTGAAACTAATCCATACGTATTTGAGACACGTCCGGATTTATTGATAGTATATATTTATATTCCAAAACTGTTTCCGTATGGTTGGCCAGTGCATAGATGATACTTAAATGCATTTGTTTCCCTCAGCTGAACAACGGACCTGTGTGTGGAACAGATGGAGTTACTTACGTAAACGAATGCGAGCTGAGGAAGAATTCCTGCAATACGAAACAGTACGTTCTTGTGGCCTATAAAGGAAACTGCGGTAAGTATTTAGCCCCCTCGGAACATTGTTGTTTAATTTAACATTTATTAAGTATTCCAGGAAACTGAATAATTTAGGCCGCTTGCTCGAATTCAATTAAACACCTGCATTTCGGATTGAACAATAAATTTGTGCTAAATATTTAGATTTGTTCCACTATTTATCGAATGATAAAGAGCAGCATTGTTTGCATGCTGCTATATTAACTAAAATAATGGATCTGTTTATTAAATGTAATTACAGGAGTTCCTCGATTTACGCGGCATATTTAAACACGGTTTCGCTAATACGCGTTTGCGTTTTTTGACACTCGTTACTTATTTTACTCTGTTGTCTTATACGCGTTTTTATTAAATATAGATATTGGCCACATAAAAACAGTCTACTGATTTATGAATTCGCTAGCTGGAGTGGGATTTCATGATTTACAACAGGAAGATGTAAAAGACCTAATTGAATCACATGTTGAAGCAAAAACTTTCTTTAGACTTGATACCGGTGTTGTCCCGAAATCTATAATAGAGAATACATCTTTCTTTCTTTATTGCCTCCTTTGAATTGAAGTAAATACTTACTGTGATGATCTGGCCGTGTCCCTCCTCCTCCTCCAGAGTTGATGACTTACCAACTCGATATCGTTACATTGGAGTTCTGGCAAAGCTGGTCATACGTCGATAGTTGCCTCCCGGTGTTGGACGGTTTTCGATCCTGGCTTTTGGTCTCCTTGACGGAGCAGGGGTGAGAGGTTCTGGCTCTCTCTCTTGCCCTTTGGTAGAGATGCACCGGGCTGTTTCTTGTTTTTTGCCCTCCCCTGTTCGAAGAGTGTTTTTGCTCTTGCTTCCTCCGGAGCAAATCCTGCGTGGAGCAGTTGGATATAGCTCCGTACTTCTTGGTTGACCCAGGCTAGGTAGAGGAAACGGTAGCGTGCATAGCCTGTTGGGTCTAGAGGTAGAGCGTCCGCTCACGGGTCGTCTGGCTTTCGAGGCGGAAGAGTCTCGAACTCCGAGCGAATATCTTTCGTGGTGGTGGAATTCCCTGGCCTCGACACTACTGTTAAAAAATAAAAGTTGTGCTTTAATATACGCGCTGTTTTCAAAAAAAGTAAGATCCCTGTAAAACGAGGACCTCCTGTAGTTTTAAACTTTTTTTAACTTTTTTAATTAAGACAGATTATAACTCGAACGTTTTGCGAATTTTGTGTCATACTACATAAATTTCTACTTCTCTAGACACCGGCCATGAAAGCCTACGTTTCCAATAGTAAATTGAATGCCCCCTAGCTTTTACAACTTTAGTATCAGAAAAAAACGTGCCTCTCGTCGTCTGGCGCTCGCCAGGGCGTGTAATATTTAATGTATAAACTATAACAAGCTAAATACAGAGCGAGAAAAAAAACGTCCCCTATTCCGTTAACAAGTTATTTGAACGTTCCAGACCTGTGCGAGAACGTCGAATGTAAATACGGCGCCCGATGCGAGGCTGGCGAGTGTGTGTGCCCAACGAATTGCCAAGAATCCGGCAGCGAACCGGTGTGCGCTTCGAACATGATGACATATCAAAACGAATGCGAAATGCAAAAAGCGATGTGTCAAGATTCGACGAATTACGCCGCCGCCGGTTCTCTGAGCGTCGTTTTTTACGGCGACTGCAGGGAGCGCTTTCCCATAGGAAGCAGTAAGTCATTCGTTTTAATTTCTGCGCCTTTTGATTGATATCTGACCAACAGAACACCTACATTTCCTACTATTCTACCAGATAAAATATTCTCATTAATCTCTATTCTCCTCTCCTGTCCTCGAGAAAAAAGGTGGTTCATGTATACAGAAATTATGAAATAATATTTCAAAATAACTGATTTCTTCATTATTTGCAAATTACAAATTTTGATCCGTTTCTCTAAGTAATATCTAGAGAAAAAAAGGAATACAAACATATATCTAAGAACTCTGTTAAATACTCTAAAGACATTTACGCAGATAAAAAATTTTGTAAGCCGCCATCTAAATTTAATTTGCACTAAACCAACCGAAATAGAATTGAGATAATTAACCTGATTCATCTTTACGTCAAATATAACATTCATTTATAAAGACAGCTGCTCCATTAATTCTCATTTCCTTTTTAAGAAGCCTTAATCATAATAATAAAAAAAGTCCAGCATTAAATTTAGGTATTCACAATCAAATTGGTCTCCGGTAGTACATTTTTAAAAAACTATAAACTGAAGTTGTTAAAGAAATTTATTTCATTACAGAAAAAAGGTAACTCTTTAATTTTTCGGATCTCTATATATTTTTTGGAACAGAATGTTTCACTCGATGTACAAACTTATGAGGGTCCTTTTTATGTAATCTCTTCGGACACTTAGAGCTGAAATAAAGTTTTATTTTTTGAGATAACTTCTGCCTCTGGTCCTGCTAGCCTTTATCCAGATGCTTCACCTTAAAAATCAATAACCCGTATAGAATTTTTTTTCGACCTAACTGAGTATGAAACGGGAATAATAAAATTAAAGCAACTGTTTTAATGAAGTAGTTATTCTGGATATACGGTTTGGTTCTGGTATGTTTTTAAATTAATCTCATTGCATTGTTAGCTCTGTTATTCTTATATTATTCTATACTATTACAAAATAAATTAATATATAAAAAAATAATTGTTGTATCTTTCAAAACATGAAGAATTATTTCAGAATAATATATTATATTTAATATTAGACTCATTTTTACATTAATTAAAATAACCCTTAACAAATATTCTATATAATAACAGTTATTCTTTTATTCACATTTTAAAACTTAACTTGAGGAAGAACATTTGCATGGAGTGGATAACATTTAATAAAACCATAAAATCAAAATTTATTTGATCATTAGCAAATATTATTAATAATAATTTATATTAACATGAATTCTGTTTAATAATAACAATTATTCCTTCAGCCACGCTTCATTCATTACCAAATGTATCACCAACCGAGCTAGAACCATCACCCACCGATAACATCATCCTAAACCTCAGTAGCAACGCTAAGGAAGCTTGTAGAGACATTCATTGCGACTTCGACGCCACCTGTGAGCTAGGACCAGACAACTTTCCGAGATGCACCTGTAAATTCGACTGCGCCAGCGCAGTCCTGGCCAATCCCCATTCGAGCAAACCAGTTTGCGCTTCAGACCTAAGAATATATTCGTCCATATGTGCGATGAAAATGGAGGCTTGTCAAAGACAAGAGGAACTGCGATTGAGACCCCTCGAGCTTTGCCAAGGTCTGATTAAGTGAAAGTTACTGATTCTATTAGTCTTGGCGCTTTGCCTCTTAGTGTAAAAGCGAGTCTTTATTAGTGGTTGGCCGCGTTTTAGTACACTTTATATGTGACTCGCAATATTCCTCTTATTAGATCAAGTTTGCTTGCGATGCTAGATAGGAGGGCTAATTTGTCAGCTCCTCATATATACTACAGCCTGTGATTTTTGAGCGTCTTTAAGCTATTTTGAGGTTTCAAATTCGCAATTCGGAGTTTTCATAATTCCTTGTGATTGAGTGAAAACGGCGACAACACAGAGATGACTAACAAAGTTTCAAGTCTCTGATTGTAAATGATTTAAGACCTATCTAATCGTTAAAACTAAAGTATATAAATAGTGTCAAAAATACTTGTTTTAAAACTATTTGTATTTTTGCGTTACTTAACAGTTTTGTGCCTGCTATGACGTCTTTTTCATTTAATCATACTTTCCTGAATTGGGAATTTTTATTTTCCTTGCAATATCTTTAAAAAAATTATGTTGTTTTAATCTAACGCATTTCATCTAAAACAGTTATACGAAGTAATCCTGAAACATTTTAAAGAATTCTACGTTTCTTTAACTTATAACTAGAAATACATTTATTTTAATCTCTACTGATGTCGCACTAACTACTGCGCATCAAATGAGAAGTGTTACACAGAGAAATTCACATATCACCCTATTTGGTGACCTGTATCAGTTTTTGCAAAATCGAAATAAATAGATAAACAACTTAGCAAACACATCCTACCTAAGACAGTTACTGAAAAATATTTTAAATAAAATACAACAAAAACATTTATGATGATGTCTAAATTATATTTAAAAATACTTTTGATAATCTGGTTGTGCGAGCCAACCCTGTATATGTTTACAAATACTCTGCTTTTTGAGTCTATTATTAGAGGCGATGTTTTTTATAGGAATGGAAGTGAAACCGTGCAAGGGAGAGAAACCTGTAACTGATCCCGTCACAGGGCGTGAGCTAGATTGTGGTAATGGCCCTTTTAGGCAAGACTGCCCTTCTGGCACTTACTGCCATCAAACAGCTCGATTCTCGCGCTGCTGTCATAAAGGTTAGTATTCTATATCTCTCATTATTTTAATTCTATTTTATAAATAATGCTCGATATAAAGATTTTTTTATAAGAATGGTTTTATTATTAGTATAGTAGAATGAATGTTTGGAAGGAGGGATTAATCACCGCGACAATACAGATCTATTCTGTCCCTCTTTTTTGAGTTATAACTCAGCATACTGTCTCAGGGCTTTGGGAGAAGCTTGTATCTAAGTCAATTTTACAGAGGATAGTTTTCCATCTCCAATATCCGTCGTACCAAAGTTTATGGCACTAATGTTTGTCGTCTGGGCGCATGTGTTGAGATGTTCTGGTGTTTCTCCACTTTCCATACATAATCTGCATTTGTTGTTGTTTCTTAGCTGCAGTCTACTATGGTGTTTATTAAGAAGACAGTGTCCTTTTTAAAAACCCATTACAATCCGATGATTATTCTTGCTTTAATCAACGAAAATCTTTTATTTTTCTCGGTAGTAAGTTCTGAGAAACTGAGCCTAGTAATAATTAAAAACCAGAAAAAAACTGTAAAATAATCGCAATTTGTGTCATGTAGGTTAACTGTTCACAATAAAACAATTCATATATATTAAAAGCTATACCTGTCTCACGTCTAAAGTTTTCGCCCATAACTGACAGTACAAATTTATTTTAATTAGCGTTCACCCGCAGAAAATCACTTGTTTAGAAAGATTAATAATTTGTGATGCCGTAGACAAGCTTAGTGGAAAAGTTTTACGAAAAAGTTTTTATTAAAATATGCGCCGGGCCTGGGTTTAAAGTTACATTTAATAACTTTTTTCGAAGTTTCTTTTAGCCTTGAAACGTTATTAATATCTTATATTCTGGTCAACATGGAACAAATCTTTTCGCTTAAAAGTTTCATTGGGAAAAGAAAGAGCTTCCAAGGAAAACTAATTTAGATGCTGTCTGAGTGTTAAAAATATTGTTTTAAATTTCGTCTGCATAGGGCTTGTGGGAATAAAGAACAGGCTAGGTGCGGAATTGTTACAAGGATAGTTTTAGTTTTCAGTTGCGCCGATGCGCTCGTTATTACTTCCTGTTTATTTTGGTTAACTACGTACTTTATTTGTTTTATTTTCTTTGGCTTTTCACAGTCTACAACTAATACAAATCAGTAAGCTAAATTTTCACAGGAAAGTTGTACACAGTAATGAAATATATAATTAAATATATTTTTAGACAGATGTAGATTGCATGAGAGAGGGGCATTAATCACCGCGAACTTATAGATCCCCTTTCTTGAGTTATAACTTTCAATCATCATACTTTCTAGGCTTTAACAAACAGAAACCAGTATCTGAGACGGTATTACAGAGGTTAGTTCTCCATCTTCGATATCAGTCGTACCAAAGTATAAGGCACGAATGGTTATCGTCTTGGCGCTTTCGGCGATGAGGTGTTTTGTTTATTCCCCATTTCCCCCATCAGAATCTGCTTTCGCCTTTTTTCTTAACTTCAATCTACTGATATGTTCATTGAGGAGATAGTGTCCTGAACAGAGAAAAATAAAAAAAAATATTTTTCTCGGTTATAAATCGTGAAAAACTTCTTTGTGTGTCGGCAAACAAACTTGGCTCATTGACCTAACTCTATGTTCTTAAATATGTCTGCCAACATTTCAAATCCACAACAAGCGTGCATATTTTTCCTACCAACAGCTGGAAAATTTGAAAGAGAAATCTACTTAATCTGAATTCCTTGAACTAATGAATAAGGTCTAAATGAAATACCATCTTTAAGTATTCTTGGTAACCCATGAGGATGTAGTGGTATAGTCATCATCATCATCATTTCAGCTTATTCAACAATTTCCAATTATGGTATAGCCTCTCTCAGATATTTAGATAATCTCTGTGTAGTTGGGCCCATTGACTTATTCTACATTTTCCACACATTCTACATTGTCCCTCTATTGTTGGCTATGTGGGCCAAGTTATCCCTGCTAATTTCCTAATATCTCAGGTTTGGTCTCCTTCTAGATCTCTTAATTCCTCATCGGTACCGTGACGTAATTTTAAGGTCTATCTGTTGTCCGTCCTTCTTGCCAGATGTCCTGTTTATTGCCACTTAAGGGATTTGATTCTGTGGATCTTTTACCTGGATCTTTTGTCGTATCCACTATATTCTTTTACGGTCTTGCTTGGTTATTCCCAGCATATGTTCTTCCATTGACCGTTGTGCGACCTACAGTTTCCTTATAATGGAGTTTATTGGTTGAATGCTTTCTTCTTTAGATAAAGTGGCATTTTAGATTTGAATATGATTGAGTTTCTTCCATAAGTACTCCATGCTACCTTAATCAGTACTTATATTGGTAGTAGTACCTACTAAGATATCGTCGGAATGAAGTACTAATATTAACGGTTAGTTAACAGTTAGTTATTAACGGTTAGTTGTAGGGACACTATATATTAATGAACATTAGCCAGCAGCTTTTATTGATGTAGAGCCAATATTTCGATAACATTCTTTTTGTTCACTATATTCTATGTCTACTAGTAAGCTAAATAATTCACTATTCAAAATACTGTTACATAATATATTAATTACTAAACTAATTACATAAAAAAATCAATATGTTTTATTTTCAATTTCCTTAAGAGAAGTACCGATTTTGTCTGTTACAGACAAGAATTTCATCGAGAAGAAAAGTTGCGAGGACAGCTGGTTCGGCTGTTGCCCAGATGGCAAAAACCCATCGCAAGGCCCTAATTTCACCGGTTGCCCTCAGTCCTGCGGTTGTAATAAACTCGGCGCCTACTCGGAATATTGCGATGCGAAATCTAACAAGTGCAAATGCAAACCGGGAGTGGGAGGCGAGAAATGCGATAGGTGCGAACCCGGCTTCTGGGGATTGCCCAAAATATCTTCTGGATTCAAAGGATGTTTACGTAAGCCAAGAGAACTAATATTCGATGAGGGAATATCAATATTTATTACCAATTAATTCGCTGTAAAATATAAACCTTCAAACATGCATGTTTTATTTTTTCTGAAAATAATTCACAACAATTGAAAACTGACTATAATTTTTGTATTCATACAATATTTAAAATGAAATAAAATAAAATTAATTTATTTAACTTATTTTAACTTTTTATTTTTCTTATATTAGCTTGCGGATGCTCTATCTTTGGTTCTGTCAGAGATGACTGTGAACAAATGACAGGTAGGTGTGTTTGCAAGCCAGGCGTCCAAGGACAAAAGTGTACAGTGTGTACCAGCCATAATAAGGTCCTAGGCCCCAATGGTTGCGTCTCAGGTAAAAAGTTTCTATACTCCGATTCATGAAAGATGACGATTGTATCAGAATTCCAGGGTTTCCTAATTACGTACATTTATATAGTATCATTCTCTATTCAGTATGATCGCATTCGTAATTTTTCGTGAATAGGACTGTACCTAAGTTTCATATAAGATATTTCATTAGAGGTGCGTCTTGAAATCATTAAATCAATAATAATTAAATATGAAAAAATACGCAAAATTGGGGAAAAGAAATAAATACAGTTCTGTGTAATATCAATACCACCTTTAAAACTAAAGCCTCAACTAATCCGCCGTGACGTCATCTCTAGTAGGTATAAATTAGATTACGTGCTCGTAGTAAATTTTGATAATAAAATGCATATTAAGATATTATAAACTAGTTTTATTTTAAAAAAAATGTACCTAATAGAAGGTATCCAATTATATACAAATATTAAATTATATACAATTATGAATCAGTTTGATTTTGGAAAAGACCAAGATTGAATCTGAAATTCAGCACAGAATTAGCAGCGCCTCAAGAGCATTCTGAAAATTAAAAGATAGGGGTTTCTACAATAACGAATGAGAGTAATGGCAGTAAGTAACGTACAATAAAAAATTAAACTATTTATGAAGCAAAATATGACAGCAAATACACAAAAATCAAAATACCTACTAGACATGAGGTCACGTATATCCTGAAAGTTAAATTTTTTGGCCTGATATTTAACGTGGTATTGGTGATATTCTATAGGTGATTTGCCAACGACACCGCCATCTACGTGTAAAGAATTGACATGCTACTTCGGCGCATCATGCGTCGAGAGGAACGGATTCGCGATGTGCGAGTGCCACGAACAATGTCCCCCAAACACGGAGGTGCAGGTACGTAGGCGGAATAAATTTGAAAAATTGGCAGACACGCGGTTTTAAAAGCGCCATGTCGAAAATTTAATTGACACGATTTCGGATCGAATTTGACACCGGGGCAACGCCTGACTTTTAATGTCGAATAAACTCGGGGGAATAAAGGTATTAAGACTCAATTTGCCTTGTTCGGGACAGTGAATATTTAATTTATTTAATATTGCCAACCTAAAACCGCTATTTTCAATCTAAGCAACATGGATGGTTATCTTTTTCTTTGTGGCTCTTTATTTAAAAACTAATTTATCTAAGCAACAAAAACTGTACATAAATCCCTCGTTTTACGCGGGTAAACAGAAACCGCGTATATCGAGACAAACATTTTATTAGATAAAATACAGAGTGTGGGTCTTAAAAAAGTGCAGATATTTTTAGGGGCAGTTTATTTTGACCCCAAATACATCAGTTTTAACAATTAGAAAATGGCCTATATTTTATTAATCTATGCCTTTTAATTTGTAAATAACAGCATTTTTAGCAAAATCGGTGGCATTACGAAACCGACAATTTTACTGACTATACAGAGTCTTAAATAAGTGCAAATATTTTTAGAGCTGGTATATCTCGACAAAAGAAACATATTTTCTCTTTGCCCTTTTTGCAAATAAATCCAAAATAACCGGGTTATGTTACTTTGAAAATTTCGAAAAGAAAATTTTTTCCTTAAATTTTGAGAACTACTGGATCTTTTCTGGATTTTCTTTCTTGTAAATTTACTCTACCGAACACCAAACCAACCTATGTTGCCATATTATCAAGAAATTATTTTTTTTTAACTAAAACTAAAAACCAGATGAAATTCATCAAAATTTCACTTACTCATTTCAGTATCTGATCTTTTCTAAATATTAAATTAAATAATTTTAGTCTTAATTTATTTACTTGTTACTCACTGACTACAGGATAATCTTTATTTATAAACTTCAAAAAGAATATCATCCAGTTTGATTACGAACATTTTTTTACCATCTTTTTTTATTAATATTTCATTAAAGGAGAAACGAGAAGTTTGTTTATTAATCTTTTTTTGATTTCTGCAAATGAAAGAATAAATCAAAGGGAGAGTACTTAAAGCCCTTTGATTTTTTTTAATCAACCCTTTCATATAATAAGCGAAAGAGAAGAACAAACCATACACAGAGCAAGAACACTCATTATAAATTTAAAAAAGGGTCAATTTTAATTATTAAAAATAAAACAGCGTTTCTAATCAATTTAACGTCATTTCGTTTTTACTCATTTTTTTTCTCTGATTATCACGATGAAAAATATTAATAGTATATCAAAAGTAATTCGGATTTTTTTTGAATATCGAAAATAAGAAAAATAATCTTCGATATTTTCTAGATTTTTGTAATAGAATGTCAAGCAACGAAATACATTTCCAAGGGAATATATCTGATTTATTTTAGATTGTTTGTGGAAGCGATGGACAAACCTATAATTCTCCTTGCGAGCTAAACGAATTGGCTTGCAGACTACAGAAGGACATTGTCGTTCAAGCTTTTGGGACTTGCAAGGGTAAGTCATATAACAGTTTTTTAAAAAATAATTTTATATTTTTATTATTACTGAACTTTTTTAATTTAGTAGAAAAATATGATTTAATTTTTTAGATTTTTTTAAAGTTTCTACATAATTGAGTCAAAATATTTTTTATTTCTTTATTTTTGGGTATGCACTACTATACAAAATGTCTATACCTCTGTGGCTGATTCGTCTCTTCTAAAAAGTTCTAAGGGTTTTTCGCCACTTGCACTCTGTAGTAGAATCAAGAAAATAAAATAGTTATTTTTTTGTAAACATCTCTGCGTTAAGCCAACGGAGACCAATTTGTCAGCGGTGCCGGTGGTTTACTAATAAAAAAAATTGCCTAACGGACAAAAAAATGCTTAACGTTTACCCATAAAACTTTTTTGAGGAGACTACTTTTTTTTGAATACTATATTGTATTTATTTGATTACGTTTATAATTATCTAATAAATTTGGTGAGTTGAATCACTAGGAACGGGTATTTGATTTTATTGTTGCAGAGGACATGTTCCCTGGAACAGATTGGCCCTTACGTAGGTACACCCCCCTGCAATTCACCCAGCCCGACGAGATCAACTCGCCCCTATCGAAATCCACGAGGCACTTGCTGGTGCCCGACCCTCGATTCTATTATGGCAGTGCTACTAGGCCCTTAAGTTCCGATATTAAAGATACCCGGGGTGAGATACTCACTAATTTATTTAAGATCTAATACAGTCTAACTATTCAATTAACTAGTTTAGCTACTAATAGCGCTTTATATTATGTAATTAGGTATAGTTCACAGTGTGTCTCTGCTACTGTCTGTGTTTGATGACTAATAAATGATCTTGCTTAACCAATAACCGATTCAATATATTGTTTATTTAGTGTACCTTGGTTATAATTCAGCTGGAATTTTGTACGATAAAGCAAACAATAGATTTACTAACTCCATAATTAATTAATTATTTTGGGTAAAGGTTTTTCTAATTAGAGGTGAAAGTCTACTAACCAAAGGGTGAATTTTAATGTAATCGTACAATATCTCAACTGAAAAAGGGTTTAAACGAATTTCTAGATGCAGATGTTGCTCTAGCTTACAGACCGACTCCGGCTACTGTGAGAATAACGGCGCTACTGGGAGATTTGTGTTCCAAGAGCTCGGATTGCGTTATTTCGAACAGTTATTGCGTTGCGGGGGCATGCACTTGTTTGCCTGACTTTTTCTCGTCAGAAGACAGGCAACATTGCGTAGGTGAGAAGTTATCTTTTATACGATACTCTGGTTAGAAGAAATATATTCACTGGTTCACAATAACTTTATTCTAATTCAATAAAATATAAGTCTTAATTATCAGAAATCTCCGAGAACAAACAACACTGTATCTATGAGAATATAATCTCACATCATCATATCGTCTAGAGAGATATTTGTATTTTAAATACTATCCAAAGGAAACATATTCACTGGTTTATCAAAACTTATTTGTAAGATAAAAATCGTATACTAAAATATAAGGCAGCAATGTAATCTCTTTTTAATTGAAAAATATATACACCGGTGTATCGCAGCCCGATGAGTTATGGTAAAAATAAATATCTTATTTTAAATTAAATATTCTAATTTATATTTATTATTATTAACACGATTCGGCCAGAACACGCATAAATCTGTTATTTATTTATTTAATTATAAATTTAGAAGAGCAACAAATTACTATTTACGGCAGTTTTAATGAAATTTAATGTACAAATTATACTAAGTAAAATTTTGCCTACACCTCGTTAAATATAGGATGATTCGCGTATTTCTTTTTTTTAATTTGTTTTTATTCACATAAAAATATTTCAGATCATAGGATAAAATAAAAGCTATCATGAAATTTGATAAAGATTGGATAAATTATATCACTCACCGGCAGGAAACACAAGCACTTTAAAATTTTGATGTATTTTAAAGTTTTATACCTATATTGTGTTCTAATGGACCCATTTGGATGATCTTTTAAGCAATTTGCAACTAAATTATTTAACTTTTTAGTATCTCTCTCTAAATTAATAACGAAAGTTCTCATCTGTCAATTATACGAGGGAACACAAAATGTTATTTTGATGAAAGTTTTGAACACACTATGGAATATGTTAAAAAAGCAAGGAATTTGAAAATGTAAAAATTACAACAAAAATGTTAGTGTCTTCTTCAAAAGCGCAAAAAAATATCTCCAACAAAAATAAAGCTATTGAGATGAACCAACAAACAATCGAGAAAGGATGTACATCTAAGTGCATCCAAAATGATTTTTAAATTCCTTGCTTTCCTAATATATTCCACAGGACGTTTCAAATTTTCACCAAAATATCAACATTTTGATTTCCCTCGAATAATTTACAGTTGGGAACTTTCATTTTTAATTTAGAAAGAGATATTAAAAAGTCAAATAATTTAGCTACATATTGCTTTAAAAATCATCAAATTCGGCCAACTAGAACAAAATTTATTAAAATTTAAAATACATCAATATTTTAAGGTGCCCGTTTTTCTCACCGGTTCTTAATAGCTGTTCTTTAAAGAATATTTATGACCCTTCTAATACAAAATATCTGTGGTTGTAGATAAAAAAATGATTTTAGTAATTCATTTAGAAATTTATTACTTACTGTCCTAGCTTATGCTTTCCGATGGCAAAATCGGATATGGCATAAATATATCATCCTGTATTGGCCGAAATAAAAAATAATTAAAAAACTCTGCTGTGGACTTTATGTGTGTCACTGTATGCATAGAAAAGCATTAAATTATTCATCATTACTCTACACTGATATAAAAGGTACGTATTTAAAGCAGTAGATTATTTCTAGTTTAAAATACATTTCTATTTTCTACCGTATTCTACAAACTTTCTCTAGAGCCGCTTAGTTAGCGTTTGATTTTGAATTGATGATAATTTAGACACATTACAAGTAATTCGACTGTTCAGCAGCAAGTTAACGATTTAACATCGGTTAATTGATTGGAATTAATTTAGATTTGGAACTATCATGGCCTATCTTTCGGAGTTCATCCCCTTTCTGTCTTTTCTATTAAAACGTTCTTGAAACTTAGGCTTCTGTTTGAAATTAGTCGAGACATTTCTACCTTCAGACAACATTATTAGTTCAGAAACCAACAATTAGTTAGTTGGGTGATTCTGTTACATTTTCTATAACAATTTTTTGCACACATTATTCTATTTATCTTAATGTTCCCTTACACTCTTGAAAATGTCAGATATAATTTGATATTACACTATAATTGGGCACTCATTTTATATTGGCATTTCCCTATAACTCATCACGCTTGTTATACGTCTCAGCCTCAGTACTTCAAAACATTATTTTTAAAACAAAGAGAGACTGCAGAGGCTGAATATATAGAAGAGTTTTCAAGGAGAAAAGCAGAAGATAATATTAGAACACAAAAGCACTATAAATAGCATTTATTTCTGAAGCTTTGTTTATCATAATACGAAATTTACGAACAAAAGAACGACAGAGGTAAAGTGTAAACAATATAAATAGAAGACGCCGCCTTTGATGTTTTACAGAGGTTTCTTTTTGCCTTAATTTTTTCGAAAGAAGATTTTGCCTGGAGATATGCACAATAACTTTATTACGGTTTGTTTTATACAGGTATTAATACTTTTAATAAGTAGTATAAAATGTGTTGGAAAGTTTTCTAAGTAAATACAAAAATAAAGAAGAGTGGTTTCGAATATTACAAACTTTTAACAGAGAATAATATTTTAGTATAACAAATCCAGGGCAATTCGACATTAATGAAAAGGTAAAATCTTGGAAAATACTAAATAATTTATTTAAAATTTGAGGAAAAAAATGTTCATTTTTGATTTTATATGTCAGAGAGTTTATACTTATTATTCTCAGACAACCTTTAATAAAAATACTTGCAGAAAGTAAAGGCAGTATGTTAATAAAAGCAAACCTTTTTATAAGCTATTTTCAAGAATCCTTTTAAGAACTTTAAAATTAATGATTAAATAGGAAAAAAATCTTTGAAAGTTTGGAATTTTATTAGACCGTACCTGATATTGACAAAATTCTATCAAAGAAAAATTACTTTAAAACTTTCAAAAATATATATATTAAGTTTTTAAATAGCTTTTAATCTATGTTTTAGTACAGTTTTTTAGGTCTAAAGTTAGATTCATGTTTCTAAAAATCTAAAAATGAAATTATACAGCGTGGCTCAAATTATATTCGAGAAACTTAACGGCAGCATATTCTGCAGATAAAAATAAGTAAAAAATTTCGTATAAATTTGTCCCAAAATGTTTTGTTTTGGAAATACAGGGTGTATATTTCGGATTGGTAGGTGGTGTCCCCTACAATTAGGAGTCATATTGACATCGAAATGAAATTTCTCATGTCAAAAAAAAGAAAAAAAACAGCCAAAATAAATAAGAAATTTCTATACACCCTGTATCTCTGAAACGAAGCATTTTAGGACATAAATTTATACGAACTTTTTTACTTCTTTTATTTGCAAAATATACTGCCGAAGTTTCTCGAATACAATTCAGACCACCCTGTATAATTGATATTACATATATAAAATAAAATGTTAGTGCTTTTGGGACACTCTGTATAAATTAAGTTGAATACTATTGCATAAAAATGCATGGAGTACTTGGAGATGTTATCAGGAAGTTCAAAAAGTAATATCAGTTTCATAAAAGACATTGTCTTATGTGTTAAAATTGTTAGTATTTTGGGCGCATATATCAGCCCTTGCTATCAGGACAGAAGCACACTGCATTAAACATATCTTTTTGACGTAGAGTGGAAGAATGTAGCGCCTAAAACGTTTTCTTTTATCAGTGGCAAGGGGAGGTCCCCTCGCCAGGATTTGCCCCAATTGTTTTCAACAACAGCAGAAAAGTGCTTATAGGAAGTGCCACTGAAAAATGCAACCAAATACTCCAGCCCCTCTGTCTGCGAAAATCCTTTTTTCTGTCAGCCATCTGCAATTTCAAGACCTAGAAATAATTGAACTTGAAATTAGGGGACAGCTTTTATCCTGCTGTGCAATTACAAACGGTGGATACAGAATGTTTCCTTTTCGTTTTTCGCAGCTATCATGTTTCTAGTGGTGTCAGAACGCTGTAAGGCTTGTCGTAAATTTACAGTGAGTCAAATTACCAGAAACATCTTTTAAATTTTCTTCGATAAATACACAAAATATTAATTAGAGTTTACATAAAGTTCCACTGGTATTTGAATGTTCTTTTTTAATAAATAAAATGGTCTTTGAGTACTGGGTTATTGACCTAATTCGACATGAAGTATTGCAGCCACACGATTAAGTTTTTAGATATCATGGGTAATGGGATCTTTGGATGAAGCCAGAATAGTGTCCCAAAAAAATAAAAATATCAAAGTTGTATTTTTTTAATGGAACACTTTGTATATTATTACATTTTTGGTTTCTACGATTAAAATAAAGGTAAATTTAATTAAAGTTTACCGCACTTTAATCATACCTTTTTTGAAATATTTACGTTTTTGTGAAAACAGTAACAAAATTTAATTCATTTCTCTCTTTCTTTCTTACAAGTTTTTAAAAACAAATATTGTACTGAAGTTCTTCTATTTACTAAATTTTATGTTGCAATAATAAAAATAATACTACCTCATTGAGAGTGTCTAAAAATTTAATTGAAATAATTACTAGATTTAAACGGCAATAACTAATTTAATGAACTTAATAACTTAATTTGAATGAAATACCCTGTATATTTTATGATATTTTTTTTTATTTCAGATGCAAAATTTTATAGTGTATCAAATTATTGTATTATACTTATAATTTAGACCTCATTTTTCAATATACCCATAAAATTATTATTAAGTTTTAGAAGCAAATAAAATATTTGCTTCTAAAACTTAAATACTCCAAGAGGAATGAAGCGTTAAAATTATTGTTACCACATATTCGCAAAATAGTTAATATTTCAAAAACGGTAAGATTAAAGTGCGGTAAACCTTAATCAAATGATTAAGATACTAAAAAAAAACTAAATAATTAAAAAATACAACTTTGATAATATGTTTTTTATTTGGGACACTCTGTACCTTTTGAAAATAATTATAAATTGTAGCTTCAGTAGCCCTCAAACGACCACTCACAATTTCTAAAAATCTAATCTTTTAAATCTTGAATAACCCTGTATATATCCTGTAAACTTTTAGATGGATATTTAATAATTTATTTTATCAAAAATCGCATTTTTAGTTATGAGAAAACCCGTATATATTTTTTTCTTAAGAAATAAGCCGTATATACCTTGGAACAATATATAATATCGCGTAATATTCTTTAAAAATGCCTGGAATGTCTATTCCAAAACACATATTTCAAATATCTGCTTTTTTCTCGTTAAATCTTTTTTACCTGGCACGCTATTACAATATAAAATACTTATAATTCCTTAAATATTGATTTGGCTCGCCGTATATATTCGCATTGCTCGTTTATACTAGCAACGAATATTACCTATGTACTTTCAGGTCATTAGTTAACTCTGTTAATTTTAACACATTAGAAATCCATTTAGTGATTTGGTTTGGTTAAATTTAACGACACACGCGTCCTGGTAAACGTCTGGTTAATGTATTCCTTTTAGACAGGTTTAATTCAAAATGTCAACCTCGTTTCGAAATTTGTGCCGCTCATTATTGTACGGATAAAAGAATATTTACCTGTTTAGGTGGCTAAATACCCAGCCGTTTCCGGTAAAAAAAACTTAGTAATAGTAATAGACAGGCTAATTCTACGTCTACTGTAACGCCATATTAGCATCATCAGCAGATGATTAAAACTAAACCATATTTACAGTTGGCAACGACCAACGTGGCAAAGCTAGTCGAGGGAGTCAAAACCAACCGAGTGTAACAATTAATTACAGAGACTAGAGTAATAGGGGAACAGAGAACTGAAGGGAATTGGACCATTATCTCTGTTTATATTATCATTTATTTAATGCGACGCAGGCATATGCATCTTAACATCTATATATAATGATCTTTATCAACAATCTGTTGAGCAACGCAAGATTTTAGGTTGATTCTCACTATACCTTCCGTATCAGCTGCCTTCCGTTTCCCTTCCGTTTACATAAAATATATATTAAAGCATGTAAATGCATAGGACAATGCACACTATCCGTTCCGTTTCCATACTGTTCCATATTCATTTCCTTCCATAATTTTTTTGGCGGACGTACTGAAGCGTATAGAAAACAGCATTGTGAAGTTCTTACATTTGTACCAGCTCTGTTAACATTTTGCTAATATGTATTTCTTTTATTCTTTTACCTCTTAATAAAATCTATTACCTTTTTCAAAAGATAGAAATTTTTAAAATAAAAATTTCCCAACGATATAAATTGTAAAATAAAAAGTATGGAACTGATACGGTAGCAAGCTTACGTATAGAGTCAATACAATAAAAAATACGGAACGGATATGGAATGGATATGGAATGGAAACGGAAGATATAGTGAGAATCAACCTTTATCCGGTCTACCATATCTTATCTTAGCTATATGTTCTTTAAATCTAATTAATATTGATCTTCTAGTTTGCCCAATATATTTCTGATTGCAATCTTTACATGAAATTTCACAAATACCCGACCTTTCCAATGGAGATGCTTTATCTTTAGGATTACCTAATAATTGTTGTTATTTATTATTTACAGTATACACAACTTTATAATTGACATTTTTGAAAATTCTTTTTAAACCACGGGATTACGAGTACTTACTCTATCAAACGGTATTAAAATATATTTTGATATATCTTTCTCCACTTGAAATTTTTAGTTCCAGTTCGCCATTTTTAGTGATTTGGAAGTCTTAGAAGTTTCTTCTTTGTGGTATTTAAGCAAATAATTTTAAAACACAGTAAAAGAGATTTTATTTATTTATTAAAAATATGAATGTGAACCATATACACGAAAGTTATGAAATTTAATTCCTAAAATATATTAATGTAAATTTCATCATCATTTCAAAAAAAAGATATTCAGATAACCTTTGAAATCCATTTTCCTTTTTGGTAATATTAACTTCGAAAAAAGTTGTTTTTCGCTTTAAGTTTGATGGCTTCTGATATTTTCGGACAAAGGTATTTCTGATAAAATTTTTAAATTAAAAATATTTACAAAAATCGAATACCTACACGGGAAGTGGAGGCGTAGGCATTTTTAATTTGAACTAACAGCTCCATTGAAGTTTTTAATATTTTTCTGTTAATAATGTTTGCTTAAAACTTGGCTGAGAAATTATCTATATTACGGTAATATTATGGATTGACGCCAATAACATAAACACTTAAATTAACGAAGAAAAATATTGTATGGTAAAAATATTTCATATCAAATTGTATTAGTTTTAATAGAAAACTTATTTTAACATTTTCACTTTGGTATATAACTTAATTAATAATTTTCAATTCTCTAAATGAAAAGCTTTCAAATTTACAAAACCTATTTAGAATGAAAATGCAAGGCTACCCCACCTATTTTAAGTACAAAATATTGAACAGGATTTCTTTCTCCTTTAGCTAGAATATATAGAAGCAGTTCATTTTCAGACATTTTTCCATCAATTTATTCCTTGCCGCATCATTTATTAAACACAATGTATGCATATTCATGGTAGAGTATACACCTTTTTTGTTAATTTTAAACTTTTACGATACATCAAAATATTTACTTTCAGAAAAATGAATAGTAAAGAGAACAGGAAAGCTTATATAAAATTGTAAATATCGTATTACTTCATTTTTATGATCAACAGCAGATTTTTAAATCTAAATTATAGTTCAAAAATTGAATTTTTATATGCGAAACAAAACATTCAAGAAACTAAAAATAAATTACATTATTAGAACAGTAATAACAAACAACCTTATAAGACCATTTCTCTGACACTATTTTTTTCAAAACCATTAATAAAAGATTTACTTCTGACGATTAAGATTATAGATATGTAAACCACCAATATTCATTGATGTTTCTCTTATATTCCGAAATAAAAGTTTCAGTATCTTACTAACGCAAGTAAAACAGTTATCGTAACATTATGCATTTGATATATAGTGGATAGACATGGTTTTATCTCAAACCGTATCGGAAACAAGCATGTTTCTGACGTTTATCAAACATCTCGAACCCTAGTTTAAGCGAACCTAGTAAATTTAATGCAGTTTGATACAATTATGACCTAAATATATAATAGTAAGACCTTGCAAATGAAAATCGAGCACTTCCATACAGTAAACTGATTACCGCAGCTTTATCGATAACATCTTCCAGGCAGGAGTGTTCCTTCTCCCTCACTCTCCCATGTTTTAAAATTCAAAATGGTCGGTGTCTACTCTTCTTTGTGCTTTGATTTTCCTTAAGCACTATACCATTAATTTTATAGAGTATACTAATTACAATACTACACCTTGTAAATACCTTTGATAGATCAAGGAAGAAAATATGAAACTAATAAAATATATCTTAATAATAATAGGAAGTTTAACTTATCTGATAATTAAAATGAATTTATTTATTGCAATCTACCCCTCTACATACTAGTTTTCCAGTTATATAGGTACCAAATACAATAAAAATATATTATTAAGTTATTTAAAGTTAGGTATATTATTCTCACTTAACAAAACACTGTTATTTTTATACCCATTATTTTTGAGAATATCAACCTTTGGGTCCTATCTAACCCAGCTAGCTAATTTTTTCATATCCTTATGATTTGTTAGTGTTGAGATAACTACTATATCATCCCTCCTAAAGAAAAGGAAATGTAACATTTCTGCTGCATTGGGTAAGACTTATAAATCAAAACTTTCATTAAGTCTAGGAAATATTAATCCAATTAAATATCAAGAGAAATTAGAGCTAGAAATTTGCCACTTAGTGTCCTAATGGAAAAAGGGCACGTTATTTTTCAAGATATTATGAGGGTTGATCTAATAAATGACACTGCATTTCTAGAACGATTATATTTTCCATCTTTACTCGGGTATGGATTTGATTAAGTGTGCTTATTTTATCAATAACAAAAGGAACATTGAGTCTCAGTAAAACCAGTGAATATATCTTTATATAAGGTTTTTTAACCTAAATATGTTTTAGTGCATTCATATTCAAAGTATATATTTTGAATCTTTAGTTTTTCAACTGAAAACGGATAGTAGTAAGAATCTAATAGTAACAACAAATAGTTATTAGTTTTCATTCCAATCACTTTAAAGAACTTTGAAATATGCACAAGGCTTTCTAATAAAACAGGTTAATGCGGTATAAAATAGACACCTGTAATTTGCCAATATTAATAATGCAACAAATAAACAAAATACTTATATATGACAAAACATTATCATTGACTGGCATATTTGGTTTAATATTCAGCACATTGAATTAGTTTCAAAATTTTCATGATAATCCACACAGCCAGTGAATATATTTCAATTTATCATTAAATATGTTATTATATTATTATGACGATGCATGAAAGATTTCAAATACTACACTTCACTTGCATATTTTTCGTGCCATTCAGACTTGGATTCGCGAAGGCAAACTTGATATCAGGCATTTTTAAAAGACTTTTATTTTCAAAAAGTGTAGTTAATCCTTTGGTACAACGATACAATGTTTTTTTAATACAAACTAAGAGTGTAAATCTTAAAACTACAAAACTTTGGTGACTACAAAACTCTGGGAATATTTTTTCTTAAGAAAAAAGCGTTGTTTTGTTAAATATACGTATGAAAATACTTGAATAAAGATAGAATCAGATAGAAAGATAATGAGCATCGAAACTGTCACCACTCTGTAGGTACAAAATTAATTAGCACTACAGAAAAAAAGATCAAAGAAAGTGTCAAACTTTATATACTCTCTTCGCATCGTCATAATAAGATAGCGACACCATTCGAGTGCCCGGAGTAATAGAGTTAAAAGTAAAAAAATAACGAAACTTTTCCAGAAGATTCCCGACCGACAAAAGAATTTCGAGCATGCAGTTCCTTTCCTTGTTTCCACTCGAGCACATGCATCGACCTGCCCGGGGCTACTTTCACCTGCATCTGTGCAGACAACTACACAGGCCCATCCTGCGAGACCGAGATCGTCCTCAAACAATACGAAACGCCGTCCTTCAGCGGCAGATCCTACGTCATCCTCAAAACAATCGAGGCTTACAACAAACTCATCATCGAAATGGAATTCAAATCGTACACTTACGACGGCATGCTGCTTTACAATGCTGAAAGCGACAGCGGCATCGGAGACTTTGTATCGCTGGCCCTCGTTAATGGATTTGTCGAATTCAAGTACAACTTGGGCCACGGACCTGTTGTGATGCGCTCGATGGATCGCATCGAACTGGGAAAGTTTCATCGAGTCGTCGTGAAGAGGTACAACAGAGACGGGCTGTTGAAATTGGATGACGCGGATGATGTGGCGGCGCAGGCGGCCGGATCAACGAAAGCCCTGGATTTGAAAACGGATACGTTTGTTGGATATGTTCCTACAAATTACACACGGTAAGCTGGCACTAATTAAGGAGGGTTTAAGATTTTTTCCGCAGTAACTAGGGCTTGTAATTAGAACAGTTTCGTGACGTCTTTGTTGTAAAATGGAATTCTCGTCTCTCTACGTACTACTGTTTCAAATAACAAGTTTGTATTATCTAAAGGGATTGCCACGCACAAACGACAGAGAAATTACCTGAGTAAGAGTATACTTTCCTTTAAAATAGCTAGGTAACCATTATATTTTTAAATACCGCTTTTAATTTCAAATAATTGTCCCAGAGAACTAAATATGCGCAATTCCATAATAGCTATTAGGCAACAACAATTATTGTTGATGTGTTAGACCACCCATTAGAACTATTATAACAGTTAGTAAACTTTTTTTCAACATCGCTATGCAGTATGTCCCCGGATTGTCTTTACAAAAGGAAAAACTCTTTTATTATTGACATTTCGAGAAAAATGCATTCTTCATAAAAAGGTTTGCTTATTCTAAAATGATTAATCCTTTTTAGAATAAGCCAAATTTCTATACAGTTTTAGAGAAAACTAAAAAAAAACATGAAATTATACGATCAAAACGCCTGTCCATGGTAATATAATTTCATTTTTATTCTTTTATAGATTGTTATTGATAGAATTTTTATTGACGTCATATTTTTTGCTGTTTTAAAATTTTAAATAAGCACCAAATTTATTTAGTTTAATAAAGTAATCTAAGGATAGGGTAATAATAATTTTTTACTTTAACTATTTGGTTACAGTAATTTATAATCCAGAATTTAATCATAATCATAAAAAAATCCAACTTAACAGTTTTCTTTAAAAGAAAACATCTACCACTCTCAAGTAATATTCAATTTAAATAATTCTTTTATGTGCCTTTTTGTGGCTAATGGATTTTTTTTTATTTAAAAAAAACAAAATATATTGAACAGAAGGACTACTTTTATTACCCATTTTAACATAGGTGTGTTTTGTGGTTTAATAAAAAAAATGTTTCAATCTACCCAATTTTTTTTCAGGGTTTTTGAAAACATAGGAACCGACAAAGGATTCGAGGGCTGCATAAAGAAAATGAAAATCGGCAGGCAAGAGATCGAACTCCACATGTTCCGCGACGACATGGTGTTGGAAACAAAAGGGATCCACGACTGTGGGCAGCACGCCTGCGAAAATTCGCCCTGTCTCAACGACGGTAAATGCTCCCCCATGGAAGACCTTTTCCGGTGCGACTGTCCTCAGCAATTTTCCGGGAAATTCTGCGAAAAACTCGTCGACCCCTGCATGTCCAACCCTTGTGCGTTCGGGGCCAGATGTAAGGCCTACGATCAAGATACTTACGTCTGTCATTGTAAGCCTGGTCGAGTAGGGAAGCGCTGCGAAGTTGGTAAATAGCCATTATATCTTTTACGACGTTTTTGATAAAAGGAAAAGGAAATGTATTATTTTTTTTAGTTTTTTTTTCTATAATATCACGTAGAGAATTCGGGCAGATACTTTCTTTATAGTTCTTTCATTAGAACATATAGAAGAGTGCCATTGTGAAATGGTATAAAGATACTGAATAACATGTCAAGACATACATTAGAGTGAGATTATTGTGAATCTTGTAAAGAGTATTCAAAAATAGTTACTTGTGCAGCGTGTTATAGTTTCCACACAGTAAATTATTATTGGAACTATGATACTAAAGGTCTAAAGTTGATATGATGCTTCCTTAAAACTTATATTCAATATATGAAACTTATCTTTGAGAGGTCTGTTTGTAAAACCCATCTTTTAATTTCAGAATACAAGAATGACAAAATGGTGATTCCAGAATTCAACGGTAGAAGCTACATACGTTTGGAACTAACCAGCGTCATAGGCACAACATTCTCGTTTGAACTCTCCTTTATGCCTAAGGCGCCAAACGGTTTAATTTTTTATTGTGGTGAAATACGAAACAATGTTAATAATTTCATTTCTTTTAATATTGCTCGCGGCTATTTACATTTCCGATTTAATTTGGATGGAGCAGCTTTGGACTTAATGTAAGTACGAATTTTGAGATTCTATTAATATTTTATTTATAATGATTGCTTGCTTTAAACGAATAAATAAGTAACCAGAGTATGCGTAGACAAAAAAATCATTTTTAGCTGAATATAGTCACACAAAATATTAATTTAAAAACATTAAAAGTTAGTTTTGATATAATTAATAATATCTAAAAAAAGAACAGAGTTGTTATATTGCATTACTAATAAAGTAATGGATATAATAATCAAATTACATATTCAAAACAATGCTAATTAAATAAATTAACTCAAAGATTTATTTAGAGTTTATTTGGAACAGAATTGTTCTGAATTTTACAATACATTGATATCTATAATTATGGTTAAATAATGAAAATAAACCCGTTAGAATCATGGCTGGTTAAAATTTTTATAGATTAGCTTAATTAATAAACGTCTCTTATTTCAGTTATTAATATTATTGTATTGATATACCGGGTGGTGCATCGTCGTTGGAAGCAGAAAATCGCGTGTAAAATTTGAACTGTCCAGATACTGGCTCCCCTGTTAATTTAAAATAGAAAAACTGAATCTATTTTTAAATTAAAACTTAATAACTAAATTAAAAAAACAGGTAACGATGTAACACCAAGAAAACGCCAACGCACCTTAAGTTGAACTACCTATAATTTTGTCAAATTTTGTTTTTTAAACGTTAGGCTTTTGCCTCATTCGAACCAGTTTTAAATTTTAAAAATACATTTTGGGGGACAGTAAGTGTAGATACTATAATATAGTAGTGTAGGACAGCACAACAAATTACATCAGATTTTATCATTGATAATGATACAATCATATGGTGCGTTTAGACTTGAGCACGCACGCACTGATCCTCCGCGAATGCTCAAGTGTAAACGGCTGTGCGCGCACGCTCACTCTGAATCTGACTGTGCGCGAGCAGCCGCGAACGTGAGCCGTCTGGTGTCGGTTTTTGGTCCGTGCTCAAAGAGATTTTATGTGTGCGCGAACGCTCAATTTGCACCGGCAATTTGTTTTGTCTGCGTTCGTGCGTGCGTGTCTGATTTTTTTTCGTTTTCTTTATTAGAATTATGGAGTGGATCAATGAATCTTTGTTATTATTAATTGAAAAATATGAAAAGTTGCCTATATTATGGGATGTTAAACATTCTTTGTATTATTAAAAAATCAAAAAAAAATATAACGCATGACAAAACCTTGTAAATAAAATTAATATTGAATATGTCGATATTAATGAAATTGCTATTCTAAAATTTGTATCTTTTGTTCGTAATTTTTGGTGTTATTAAATTTTGTAAATATTCAAAGTCGAGCCTGGTCATTCTTGTGAAGTTTTTGAACTGATCATAGCCCTCCTCAGACACTAAGTTGTTGCAGTAAATATATCGATTTCTAAAAATTTGGGTTTGCCACCAGCGACGATGTTTTCGATTTTTCTTCTTTTTAATAATTAAGCTGTGCATAACAATGACTGCAGCCTCGACTCTTTCTTGGTCGTCCATTATTTTCGCCAACACAACTCTGCTGTGTTGGCGCACATATGGATCACTTTATTCGCCGAAAAATAAGTTTTTAATTTGAACGGAGCCGAGAGCGCGAACGAATGCCGTGCGCGCACGCTCAGCTCGTGCGTGCTTAAGTCTAAACGCACCAATAGGTTGACATTTGACTGGTTTTGCATTGTTACCACTTCATTTTTAATTTAAAAATAGATGCAGTTTTTCCTAAATTACTTAACACCCGCTTGTCCAAAATTGTTCAAATTTGGCATATGCATTCTGCATCGGCAGATTTTTAAAAAAACCTATTTCCGACTTTGCTGTAAAATTAATAGGGAAACCAATATTTGGACGGTTCAAAATTGCATGGGATTTCCTGTTTCCAACGACGAGCGACGATGCACACCAAATCAATTCTTTCAATTACTAAAAGGCTTTACATAACAATAATAAATTAAGTGAGTTATATCTATAAAATAATAGCATTAACTCGATATATTTAACTATAATAAGTTAAAGAATGATCTGGTGTATCACAATATCTCCCTAATTGTATGTACCATTTATTGGTCAACAATCACAAAATCATATACGAAACTCATTTTTAAAATTATTAAAAACTTATGCACTTTAAATATAATTTTCTATTCTCATATACTGGCTTAAAACAAAAGGACAACACTGTCGTTATAATAGTGGAGTCGTGTGATCTCATACACCGTATACATCAAAAACAAAGTTAGTAAGTTGGGGAGTTTAACCCCCACAGGAATTTTTGCTATTTTATGCCCATAAATTTGCTCCGGTGTCTTCTTGGTTTATGGCTTTTCTAACTTCACTACTTGAAAGTTCAAAAAACAATTTTCGATCGTTTTTTTGAAAACTATTTAGTGTCTATTGAAAAAGCTCAATAAATGGCTGAGTTTGTTTAAAGAATTAAACAAAATGTATCATAAAATTAAAATTTCATTGAATGTGGTAGAAGAATTTCGTTAATTATTTATTTAATATATTTATAACGGTTAGTGATCCTTCTGATTCAAAATAAATAAAGAAAATGGAAGTTCGAAATTCTTTTAGTTTCATTAGAAAAATAGCAGTTAGAACAGAATCGGCCAAATATATAACTGTCAATGTAGTTTGAAGCAAAGCATCTCGAAATAGAAACACGTAATGTCCTGCTTAACTAGGCCCTTAAAGTTTGGTAATCCTTTTAGGAGTGCGGAGCCCATAGTCATCCGCAAATGGCACCATGCCCGCATATCACGCAAAGGAAAAGAGGGTATTTTACAAGTTGACAATTCCAGCATAGTTTTTGGTCAGTCCGGCGCCCCCATTCGTGGGGACTACGCCCTCCCTGCGCCTCTCTACGTTGGATCCTTTCCGTAAGAACCGCGCAAAAAATAAAAACCGACCCCGGCTTACCAACTGGCACTTCCCTTCCGGATTGGTTTGGTTAGAAAAAAAACGGCAGGACAATATTAAGTAATTTTCGGAATTTTTTCCGGCTTGTCACACAAAAAAGGTCCTGTGAATTTTAGATAAATATATATATAGTATTGTTGAACAGTGTACACGGTAATTAAAACTTGATATCTTGAAACTTATCATACGTTTTCTTTTATATTTTGCATATAGGAACATAGTAGGCGCTTTTCAATATATATTAAATGTCAAAATTAACTGTCATCTTTAGAAAAACAATAGTGTTTAAAAGTTAACTACTGTTTTTTTTTCTACCTCTATAAGCAATATACAGAGTGGTCCGAACTGTATTCCCGAAACTTCGGCAGCATATTCTGCAGATAAAAACAAGTAAAAATGTTCATATAAATATATGTCCTAAAATGCTTAGTTTCGGAGATACAGGGTGTTTCATTTTTACTTCGATTTTTTCTAAATAATTTCTGAAGTAAAGTCAATTTTTGTATGGGGGTGTATGGGAGTTTTTTGACATGACTATACAGAATGAGCTTTAAATAAGATTAAATATTTTAGGGGTAGTATATTTCGATCCCAGAAATACGTCTACCTAGAAGGTTTTTTTCGCGAAAAAATTTTGGAATTGTTTTTAATTTTTAGTTAAAAACATAATATCTTCTTAAAATGGCAACATAAAAAATATATTAAATTTACAAGAAGAAAACACAGAAAAGGTCCAGTGGTTTTCACTTTCAATTCATGCGAAAAATCTTTTTTTTTTGGACTTATTTGAAAAACGGTAAAGAAAAAATATGTTTTTTTATCCAGATCTACCAGCCCTGAAAATATTTACACTTATTTAAGACTCACCCTGTATATACACATATTATTTTAAAGTTAATTTTTGTATGGGGGTGTATGGGAGTTTTTTGACATGAGAAATTTGGGATTTTGATATCAATATGACTCCTACTTGTAGAGGGTGCCTCCTACATATTTTTAACTGGCTTCATGAGTAATAACTATTTTAGTTCGTACCTGTATAAAACTATTGAGTAAAAAATATACATCTACGACGTTTTTTACGTAAAAAAGGTCTTTTGGTAAAAATGGCTATGAGTAATGGTTCTCGAGATATTTGGAATCGAAATTATAAATACATATTGTCATTGACATAAATTAAACATATGACTAAATAGTTATTGGACTGAAATCATAAATTTGAAATATTTTTGTATTAAAAGTTCAACAGGAACTGTTTTATCATCATTTTTTCGATTCCACGAAAAAATTATGATTCATTTAAAAAAATAAGAAAATCCTAAATTTATCATTTCATTTAAATAACTACCTACTCAACATGTTTATTTTTTGTCAATAATGATATGTATTGACTATTTCCATTCTAAATATGTTGAGAACGGTTGCTCGTAGTAATTTTCACCAAGAGACATTGTTTAAGTAAAAACTCACGGAAATGTATATTTTTTCAGCCAGTAGTTTTATACAGGTATGGAAAATTTATTACTCTTCATAACAGTTAAAACATATGTAGGTGGCGCCCCCTACAAATAGGAGTCATAATGACATCAAAATCAAATTTCTCATGACAAAATATTCCTAGATAATAATTTTTTATCTAAATATTGATGTTAGGTACTTCAGAAATTATTTGGAAAAAATCAAAATAAAAATGAAACTTCTACAACCTGTATCTCCGAAACTAAACATTTTAGGACTTATATTTGTACGAACTTTTTTACTTATTAAATCTCCAGAATATGCTCACGAAGTTTCCGGAATAGAGTTCGGGCCACCCTGTATAAACGACAACCCTTGTATGTAATCTTGTCATGTGGTAAGTGTAAATAGGGCCCGAGTTATAATAATAGGTAACATTAATACGAGGGCAAGACCGATTTTTTTACTATTTTATAAAATGTACATCATGTGTAACCAAGTTGGACGCACGCAGGCCGCTTAACGCTATTTTTGAAATTTAGATTCTTCAAAATTCTGACTTCTAATTCTGCATCACCGGTATACCTCAACTACCAATAACCAGGCAACCATTTTATTTGATTATAGGATATCATAAAACCCTGGTGATATTAATTCCGAATACTGCCAGCTTTTGTTACACACTATGGCTACGTGTTTTATACGTAATAAATTTTTAAATTTAATACTTTACTAACTTATATGGCCCACAAGGCATTCACGCTTTAACAAAACGGATAATAAAAAGGCCATATATAAAAGCACAAAAGTGATTTTAACCCATTTTAATCTGACAACGGTCGTGGAAAGGTCTCCATTTTGAATATCTACCGTTTTTTTTTCTTTAAATGTTTCTTTCCCCTTTCACATCTGCACAGTGTGATATATTTAAATTTGCACATATTAAAGGTTTGCACATTCAAATTTAAATTGTATTTAATACCTCTAAATCCGTTTTATATTATTCTGTTACATTATTAGTTTTTACATGAATTATTTTATATTTTAATATGATGTATGAAAACGACGTCACAGTAGGCACAGTACTAACATTTTAGTTCAAGCTTTACTCTGAATATTCAATCTACAGCATGTTCCCGGATTGTCTCTACAAGAGGAAAAAAAAAAACTTTTTATTATTGATATTTTGAAAAAAATGCATTCTTCAAAAAATTTTGCTTGTTCTCAAATGGTTCTCTCACTTTACGCCTTTTAAAATTTCCAAACCGTTTTAGATAAAATAAAAAAAACATGAAAATATAGTTGAACTTTTTCTCGAAAGTCCTAAAAATCAAAACGCGTATCTATGGTAATATAATTTCGTTTTTATTCTTTGATAGATGTCTTTCATAGAATTTTAATTAACGTAATATTTTTTGTTGTTTTATAATGTTAAAGAAAGGCTACCAAACCATATCAAAATTAATAATCACCATCTATCAAAGAAAGAAATAGAAATTATATTACCATATATAATTCTGATTTTTAGGACTTTTACATTTTCATATTTCTTTTAATTTTCTCTAAAACGGTATGGAAATTTGGAAAAGTATAAAGGGGGTTAGAACACAATAATACAAGCAATTTTTTTTTATAATGAATGCATTTTTCTCAAAATGTAAATAATAAAAAAATGTTTCTTCTTGTAAAAACAACCCGGGAACATACTGTATGTACAATATTGAATTAACTTATATCAATATTATAATTTCAATAAGCAATTGTGTTGCAAACATTGTCCATTTAGTGATATACAGGGTGGTCCGAACTGTATTCCGGAAACTTCGGCAGCACATTTTACTGATAAAAATAATTAAAAAAGTTCATATAAATGTATGTCCTAAAATGCTTAGTTTCGGAGATACAGGGTCTAGAAGTTTCCTATTTATTTCGATTTTATCCAAATAATTTCTGAAGCAACGTCAATATTTGGATGAAAATTAGTGTCTGGGAGTTTTTTGACATGAGAAATTTCATTTTGATGTCATTATGACTCTTATTTGTAGGAGGCGCCACTTACATGTGTTTTAACTATTTTGAAGGGTAATAACTTTTTGTCCGTACCTGTATAAAACTACCGAGTGAAGAAATATACATTTCCGTGATTTTTTACGTAAAAAATGTCTCTTGGTAAAAATCGCTATGAGCAACCGTTCTGAAGATATTTAGAATGGAAGTAGTCAATACATGTCATTATTGACAAAAAATAAACGTGTTGAGTAGATAGATATTTGACTGAAATTATTTCGAAAAAACGATGATAAAACAGTTTCTGTTAAACTTTTAGCACAAAAATATTTCCATTTTATGATATCAGTCTAATAACTATTTAGTCAACATGTTTAATTTATGTCAAAGATGACAGGTATTGATAATTTCGATTCTAAATAATTGCTCGGTAACAATTTTTACCAAGAGACTTTTTTTACGTAAAAAACGTGGTAAATTTATATTTTTTTACACGGTACTTTTCTACAGGTATGGACAAAAAGTTATTACTCTTCAACCCAGTTAAAAAATTTTTTTTGTCGACGCCAATTTTCATCCAAATATTCACTGTACTTTAGAAATTATTAAGAAAAACTCTGTATACAGGGTGGTACACAACTGTATACAATATAGCAGGGTACTACATAGCTTGTATTAAAATGGTATATACAATATATTTTACCATACTACGCCTAGCATGACAGCGTTTACATGCTACAATACGGTATATTTAAGTAATTTTAACAATGCCTTTAAAATATTCTGAGCAAATTTTGTTTTTTCGTTAGTTAATATATCAAGAAACTTTACAAGATATTCAAAATATTCAGGGCCGAAACAATTCCACTTCTGTTTACCTCGAATAGATTTTCTAAACTTATAAATACGAAAACTTTTAAAATTATTAGCGAAATTACAAACCGAGCATGTAGTCGTTCAATTTACAGCGTTTGCAACCGGTCTTGAGTAATTTATTAAACATCACAATGACGTAATACCAGTTTCGGTGTAAAGTTTATTTAATTCTGTCAGTTTTGAGCTCTAACTTTTGACAACTTTCCGAATTTACAACCATAATATAACACCAGCATTGGATTATATTAATTAGATTACTTACCACCAACTTTTTAAATAAAACATGTTAGTTATTATAACGTACAACTTTGGGAATATCCATTTAGTTCATCAGTTATTTGAACTACTACTACTCTTTTATATGCTCACTTGTACGTGGTATCTCAAAATAATTATTAATAATAATAATAATAAAACTTTCCCGTTTCTAACCAAGCAAATCATCAGATTTAAAATAAAAAAAAATAGGAAGTGTCCTGTCTGGTAAGCAAAAAGGGCCCTAAAAAATACCAAATATCTGATTTGCGTCATTGGATTTCAGCGGCATCGCTGACGAAAACAACAATCTGCTCCCCCTGCTCGAGTCGAATAAGGGGTTTAGAGGAATAATTCAAGGATTCGCCCTAAATGGAAGTCCTTTGCCGATAACAAACATATTACAAGACTGCTCCAATGCTCCAGCGAACGATAGTTGTTCATCCAACGTAGGGCTATATGAAGGATTACCATGTCCGGTATATAAAAATCCTTGTCTAAACGATGGTATTTGCGTACCGAATCTGGACCATTACACTTGCCAGTGTCAGCCCAATTTTAGAGGCAGGAGATGTGAGATCGGTAAGTAGATTACTATTTCAAACAATATTTTAACATGCATTAAAATTCAAAATTTCTTAATATCTTTTTTTAAATAACTTATTTTATTTGAAGTTAAAAAGCCACATCTACACATAACGTTTTACCTGTCAGTCTTACCTGTTCAGGCAAAACGTATCAGGTAAAACCTTGTCCGTATACGAAAAAATGAAGTAAAGTAAAATTTAAATTAGCAGCATTTATCCAGTTAAAGAAAATGTTTCTTTTCTAAATCCAGAACACTTAAACAAAGATAATGTTAAGGAATAGATGGTAGATTTGTCTTTTTGTGGTCATTATACGACGATTTAGTTCCAGTTTGTGAGTGTAAAACATTGCTTTTGGCATCATATTACTTTTTAAAGGCACCCAAAGGGATTTGTTTAAAATTGCTTTTATACTATGCAAGAATAAATACTCAGGATATACGGTTGAGGGCTTTTAAAGCTGCTTTAAAAGAAAACGTCGAAAAATTGTACAGTACTCTTATAAGCTACAGAAAGTTGATGGCCGTGAGGCAGCTTAATAGCGCAATTTCTTTTTTTAATAGACTCATGTTCCAATTGAAGGAAAAAAAGATCAAATAAATAAAACAACCAAGCAACAGAGGGTTAAAGAACTAATAATTTATATCTTTTTTTAAGATTTGTAAATTATATCGTCCTTTATACAGGGTGAGCTTTAAATAAGATTAAATATTTTTAGGGGTAGTATATTTCGATCCCAGAAAAACGTCTACCTAGAATTGTTTTTAATTTTTAGTTAAAAAACATAATATTTTCTTAAAATGGCAATATAAAAAATATATTAAATTTACAAAAAGAAAACACAGAAAAGGTCCAGTGGTTTTCAAAATTCATGCGAAAAATCTTTTTTTTTTGGACTTATTTGAAAAACGGTAAAGAAAAAATATGTTTTTTTATCCAGATCTACCAGCCCTGAAAATATTTACAGTTATTTAAGACTCACCCTGTATATACACATTTTTTCAATATAATTGGAGACATATAGAAAACAAGTTTATATATTTGATTTTGAATATAAACTATTTCTCGCAACGAGCTATATTCAGTGTAAAAAGAGAAAAGTGCTTAATACGTTACATAACGCAATTTTCAATTTTATTTTAAAAAAAATTGAGTTATTTTTATAATCCAATATAATCTGTTAAAATAAATAAAATCATACTTTAAAAAAAAGTAAAATATCGAAGTAAAAAAATAAAACCCTAAAAACGTACATTTTTAGTTGTGAAAGTTCGTGTCAGACTGGCTGTGCAGCATTTCGCGGCTCAAAGTAATATAAGTTATTCTTTCCTCGAGTTCCAAAATGAAAGGGGCAAGCTTTAATAAGTTAGTTATTGATGGGGAACGACTGTATAATTAATTGTCTCAGTTTTGACACGGCTGCGAGTAAAAACTAATTAATTATGACTTTTGGGACGATGAAAATTTAAAAATGCCTTTGTTTTACTTTTTATAAATGACGAGAAGATGGAGAAAAATCGATGAAGATCAGTTTTTTGATCAAACTTTGGTGGCATTAAGTTTATGACACTTTATGTTTTTTTGCATAGTTTTGGAATGAATTATTTGGTAATAAAGATCTCGGAAATATAAATAATTTCAATACTTATTAATACCTACTATGAGTGTTACATTACAGAGTGAAATAAAGCTAGAAATTCCGACTTACGTAAAATAAAATAAGCCAATAGATTTCATTATATTGTGTTTACGATCATTTCTATGAAACTTTGAGCGCTTAACTACACTAACCGGTACGAAATAGAAGCACCTTAAAAGTTTGATCTATTTTAAAGTTTTATATATTGTGTTCTAGTAATGATTTTTTAAGTAATTTGTAGCTAAATTATATGACTTTTTAGAATCTCTTTCCAAATTAAAAATACAAGTTTTTATCTGTGTATTATACGAGGGAAAACAAAATGTTGATAGTTTGAAACACACTGTGGAATATGTTAACAAAATAAGGAATTTAAAAATGAATTTATCATCTAGTTGGATATTTTCTCGCTGGTTTGTTTTGTGGTTCATATCAATAGATTTTTTTTGGAGATATTCGGTTTTGAAGAAGACACACAAATTTTCTCTGTATATACCAAGCAGGGAGTAACGTATTTTGCTATGATTAGTTTAAAAGAAATTTTAATATAAAAAACAATAATACTGTATTCATAAAAATAGGTTCATTTTTTTTATATCAATGGATTGCCTTTAAATTGACATTAAAGTACATTAGTCTTTTAATTCAATTTTAAATATTTGCCAATTATTGATGCATATACGACTGCATATATTGCTGCATTTGTGTAATATTATTAAAGTAATATAATAGGTGCCGGCAAATCAATGAAAATTCACCGAACAATTCAATAATTTTAGCGATATAATTTTACGAAACCCGATATCTGGAACTAATTTGGCGTTTTAACTGAGCGCGATATTTTCGATAGGTTGCAGTAAGCAATAAACAACCGCCTTTATTATTACGTAACAAAATGACTCGTTTCGAAGCCCAAGTAATTAGTACCTGGTTCAATAATTGACAGCTGGGTCAAGTAATGATCAGCCAGAGCGATATGTGACTTGCAAATTCGAGATCGTCGGCTAAATTTACCTTAATAAGTCAATTTTAAAATATCGGAAACCTCAAATTTATTCATCAGCATATGTTTTCAATAAGTAAAATTTCATATCCAATAGTTTATTAAAAGTTTTAGTAAAAAAATATTTAAAACAATTTAAAAAGACAACGTTATATTGGACTGTTTGATGAGGCAATTAGTCTTGAAAGTTGTTCAAGGTATGCAAAACAGGGCACCTTAAAATTTTGATGTATTTTACAGTTTTATATATTGTATTCTAGTGGACCGATGATTTTTTGAGCAATTTGTACCTAAATTATTCAACTTTTTAGAATACCTTTCTAAATTAAAAATTAGTTTTCATTTGTCAATTATACGAGGGAACACAAAATATAGTTATTTTGTTTGGTTTGGAACACCCTGTGGAATATATCGAAAAAAGCATGGAATTTGAAAATCATTTTCTCATCCAGGTGCATCTTTTCTCCATAATTTAATTTTTGGTGCATCTCAATAGCTTTATTTTTGTTGGAGATATTCGCTTATTTTGAAGAAGACACTAACATTTTTTCGTAATTTTTACATTAAAACTATGCCTTTGCTTTTGGTCTCAGTCAACAGACATATGAAATAGTATTGTAAACTCTCTGAACCCACCCCCATAACAAATATATATATATATATATATATATATATATATATATATATAGTTACAGTGTAGTTATACGATTAGTTCTTAAAAAACTCTTGAAAAAGGCCTAACAAGCCGAAACATATATGCAGAGTTAAAGTTACTCTTATTAAAAGTTTTTTGATACATCTAAAAGCGTGTTTTATTAAAATACTAATATATGAAATAGTGTTTATCATTTATGTAATGTCACTGTTATTGAAAAAGCATATTATTATTGTCTGCTGGTTGTTGGGCAGTTACTGTAGCATAGATGGTATTAAGTCCAAAAGTTATATATATCGCTATATAGTTGCTGTAATAGAAGAAGATAGGGATCAAAATGATATCGCTAACAGATTTAGGTAAGCAAATCTTATGTCAGGAAGTTCTGCGTCGGGATCACAACTTACTATGTCTGTTGACTAGGACCAAAAGCAAAGACATTTAATGTAAAAAATACGAAAAAATGTAAGTCTCTCTAAAATGTCAACATTTTGTTTTCCCTCGTATAATTATTGACAAAGGGAAACTTTTATTTTCAATTTAGAGGAAACTAAAAAGTCAAATAATTTAGCTACATATTGCTTAATCATCAAAATCATAACATAAGGTGCCCGTTTTTTCGTGCCGTTGGGTATAGGTATACTACTATTATATTATTTAACATGAATTTACATTGGACTAACTAATGTTTAATGTGTGTATTGTTATTTGAATATTTGCAATATATAGTGTTTTATTTTCAGAAAATCATAGTCCAATTAAATTTACTGGAAACACCCACTTACAGTACAAATTGAAAGGTTTTAGAAGGTAATATCTTATATTTAACATAACTTATTTATATTAATAATTGACTAAAAATTTAACCTATTTTATCAGAAACTAACAAAAATTATTACTGATAAAACATAAATATATGTCTGTATGTATATACACAGGGTATCTCTGGCTGAGATTGAAAAAAGAAAAAATATCTTAGCTACGGATACACTGTATAATATGACGCCATTACTAATACAATTTACTTTTTAACTCAGCAATAACTTTACTGATTTCGAAAACGAAATCAGTAGCCATGCAAAGGGAAAGGAAACTAACAACTTTGATTACGAGGAAGATGTAGAACTGTAAGTTACTAATATTTTACTAACTTTTTAAGCCTACAACGCCATGTTATTTAAAATATATATACATTTTTATTAAAGGTCCTAGAAATTTGAAAAACCCCAAACTAATAGCTACGTTTTTAACTAGAATTACTACAATATATTATCCTCTCCAAAAGTGGATCTATTGTGTCCCCCCTTCTGGGGTTATAAACTAATCATACAGCCAGAATCTGAGACGGTTCTACGGAAGGTAGTTCTCCACCTCCGATATCAGTCGTATCAACGTTTATGGCAAATATAGTTGTCATCTCGGCGCACTCAGTAGTGAGGTGTTCTGTTGTTTCCTCATTTTACACACAGAATCTGCATTCGCCGTTGTTTCATAACTTCAATCTACTGAGGTGTTCATTGAGGAGTCAGTTCCTGTTAAAAAAACCATGACAATCCGAAGACTGTTCTTACTTAAATCAAGGAAAATCTTTGATTTTTCTCGAACGTAAGTCTTGAGAAATTTATTCGTGTCTTAGACCGTTGGAGGTTACCCATTCCAGGTAAAGAATGTAGTATTCCAGGTTCTTGAGTTCTGCTTTAAGTTGGTTTCCACTTGGAAAGCAGAACAGTTCTGGGTCAGTTAGAGGAGTAGATCGATCCAAACCAAACCAAAAATTTTCTTTGCTGTTCAGGAAAATATAATTTGTCATAAAAATCATGTGTCATAATATAATATGTATTTTCAGTAACTGTAGTTAAAAATAGACTATTAATTTGATAATTGGCCAAAAAATAGTAGTTTCTAGTTTAGATTGTTAATAATAATTATTACTTAAAGAGGAAAACTCCAGTTTTTTATCGGGATGCATTATGGTCTATCCGAGTAATTGTTATTGTAACTTTTTCCCGTTTGCAGAAGGAAATCAGAATTAGGCAACGATTACAAGTTGGAAATTCAAACTTTTGTGGCTGACGGATTGGTACTGTGGCGAAGCCGAACGAAGAGAGTGGCGAGGGAATATTTTGCCGTTGCCATTGTAAATGGCGTCCCCGAAGTTAGCTTTAACTTGGGCAAAGATAAACGATTCTTCTCGATCCGGTTAGTATGCAAATATATGATTTTACGTGTTATTTTTAAGGGTTTCCTTCGGCGCCGGCTTAAACTTATATTGGAACATCGATAACTTGCTAAACTTAAAATTTACAGTCCGTTCGCGCCTCCAAAATAATAGATTATATTACGCCAAATCCTCATTTATTTTTATCTATATAAAATTCGATAGTCTTTGATATATTAATTTGGGGACACTAGCTAAAATATCTGACATGCTAAAATTTGGTAAAATTTGATGGGAATCAGAACCGCAACAAGTCAGTTTCAAAAAGACTAAAATGAATGTAATGTAATTTAAGTCGTGTTTATGACTTAAGTCGGTTTGAAAAGTCATTAAAATGATTTAAATCAAAAAAAGACTTAAGTTTTCTGTGAATATATCTTTTTAAAACACTTGGAAGAAAATTATTCGAAATCTGATTGAAAATGAGTAAGAAACCCAAACGAAAATCAGTTTTTCAATGTCCCGACCTAAAAGAGGTAATTAATTAGAGGATCTGTTTTCTTGCAGCGCCACAAAAAGAATAGATGATGGCCATTGGCACACGGTGCACGTAAAAAGGAAAAAGAGAATCGGAATGATATCCGTGGATGGGGAAAGAGTCACTCGGGGCAGATCGAGTCCTGGATCCAAGAATCTGCGGACTACCTCGAAATTATGGATTGGTAAGCTCTATTTTAAGGTCCTTTTTATAGAAATAAATACTCTCTGCTTTAGAGCTTATTTAACAGAGCTTTCAGTAACACTGGCAGAAAAGCTTTGTTGAAACTGAAAAGTTATATATCTTTAATATTAAATTAATTAATAATTAAATTTTTAAAATGGTAGATGATTTTCGTCTTGATTAAAATAAAAATATACTTTTGTTTTCGTTTTCTAAATTTGAAATTTACAATGTCATGTTGTCAATGTCAACCATTTTTTTACATATATGTGAAAAGGTGCAGTATAATGTTTACTGAAAAGCAAGCACCTGAGAATCGCGTCTTATTCTGTAAAACTTCAACCTCAATCAATTTCTTCGCCTTTATTTATTTCCAAGTTAAAACAAAATTGTTCCATTAAAATGAAAGTGTTTGTTAATGATTGTTAATAATTTGTATTATTAAGGCAATGGGGAAAGCTGATTTAAGAATTTACTGAAGTTCTGTCAAATAATTCGCCGATGATTGATTTATGTTGGCGAACGTTTTAACCCAAAGAGATTTATTTACCTACACCGACCGACTGAGAAAGGTAAAAATACGAAAGCTTGCGGAAAAGGGGCAAGATATCCCTATCTTGCCACTTCTAATCGGTGATAAAGACGTTTTAATTAATTCTCATGACAGTTAAATCTGTATTTTTTTGTTTAACGTCTTCTTACCATTAAAATGTCTTTTGACTAATATAGGGTAATCAGTTTTTAATATAAGATGGAAATGAAATAATTTGTGATTTTACTAATACGTTTAGGCTCATATGGCAACCTTACCGAGTTAAAAAAGGTGTTAATTTATATTGAGGCAACTCATCGGCACGAACAACCCATATTAGGCACTCATCGGCACGAAAAACAGGCACCGTAAAATTTTGATGTAGTTTAAAGTTTAATAATATTTTGTTCTAGTGCGCCGATTTTGGTCGTTTTTAAGCAGTTTGTAGCTAAATTATTTGACTTTTTAGTATCTCTTTATAAATTAAAAATGAAAGTTCTCGTCTGTCAATTACACGAGGGAAAACAAAATGTTGATATTTTAATGAATGTTTCAACCACTCTGTGGAATATATTAACAAAACTAGGAATTTAAAAATTCATCTAGGTACGTCTTGTCTCGATAGTTTATTTTTTTATTAATCTCAGTAGCTTTATTTTTATTGGAGATATTCGCTTTTGAATAAAACAGTAACTATTTACAGTAATTTTAGCATTGAGAGCATACTTTTGCTCTTGGAACTCATCAACGCACTTATAAAAGTCATGGTTTTAATGTAAAAAATACGAAAAAATGTTAGTGTCCCCTTCAAAAGCGGATATCTCGGAAAAAAGTGAAGCTATTGAAATGAACCAAATAACAAACTATCGAGAAAAGATACACCTAGATGATAAACTGATTTTTAAATTCCTTGCTTTGTTAATATAATCAACAGAGTGTTTCAAACTTTCACCAAAATTTTAACATTTTGTTTTTCCTCGTATAATTGACAGATGGCAACTTTGACTTTTAATTTAGAAAGAGGTATTAAAAAGTCAAATAATTTAACTACAAATTGCTAAAAAAATCATCAAAATCGGTCCACTAGAACACAATATATAAAACTTTAAAACACATGAACATTTTAAAGTGCCTGTTTTTCGTGCCGGTATTTTTATTTTTTGTGTAGAGAGTTTGACAATTTTTAACTCAAAATCTAATGACAATTGATGGCTGAACATGCAGATAATACTTTGGCGATATTTCTAAAACAGAAATTTCCGAAAAAGTTTTAAACCGCTCGCCTGACCTTCATTACTGGAAAGTTCTTTTTATTTGCCTAATCATTTATACTTTATCTTTTACGCAACATTAAACTTGTAATTCCTTCTAAAGTTCACTCGCCTATCTGGCGCTCTTGTTTTATTTATTCACTGTTGTTGTCAGCACGCGCTAAATTTGAATTATTTTCACCTGCATACAGGGGGTAATCCACTGGATGATGGAAAGCATCTACATCCCTTTTACATTACATTTTTACGTAAATATCAGAGTATTTTTTTTACTGAGCCACAAAGACCAATTATTGGGACACAGTTATTCCAAAAAAAAATACAATTTATGTAAACCCCTGTATGTCAGTACACTGCCATGAAGAGCCAACTATATTTCTAATACTGTCTCTTTGTCTTTTAGGCGGAAGTTCATCACTGCCACCCAGTCTACCGGAAGCGTACTACAAAGGATTCTACGGATGTATTAAAGAAATGCTGGTGCACAGCAAACCTTTCAATTTGCTGTCGAACGTAGATAGTAAAAAACTGCATTTCTGTCACGTCAATGACGTCTAATAACCCTGTTTTATTGTATTTTATGTGAGACTGAATACTTATTAACTTTCCATATAATGATTTTGCTTAGAAAAGTAAATTATCGATGTACATAGTTAAGTAATTTAACAAGAGAACAGTCGGCTTAATGGAATACAAAAGAAATAAACAAATTTTTATCTAGTCCTGTAAAGTAACATTAGACATGGAGATAGAGTACTATATCCCATGAATAAACAAAATGTTTTTCGATAATGCAGAATGAAATATATGTATTCAGATATACCTAATACCAGAAAAAAATATATTTTAATACATTTTCTCTCATTCCTTTTAATTCATTCAAAATATTTAATAGTTCCCATCTCACAATTTTAAGTTAACTTATTATTTCTTTAGGTATTGTGTTTTATATTTGAATATAGATAATGAGCTACATCACAATACTTTCTTGGGTTCGGCAAAATGAAAAGTGTGCTAAATGCAAGTACTAGAAGCGCATATTTTTTTACTTGTTTTTACAATAGCTTATATTGTTTTTTATATTATAACAGTTAATATATGGCAACAGTTAACAGTTGCACATTAGATAAAGTTTACGTTCAGTGATATCTAAAAAAAATCTCTGTAAATTTTGGCCAGTAACAAATGAGGCGTCAAGTTGAAAAACTCGTTTTATCCCAAAAACGTTTGTTTCGAGATAATAGTTATTTTACAAAAAACTTATTCGTTGAGTGAAATCATTGTTTTGTATCTCATTTTTTTAGAAATAAAAATTAATATTTCATTTTTAAAGAGAAAAAACAAAAATAATTCGGAAAGACAAGTTTTGCTACAGCAAGAAATTTGCATCCAAACTTGATTTATTAGATTTGCTGTTTTATTAAAATTAAGTAAGGATTTGAAATGGATAAGTCGTCAGTAGTATTTGGTAATAATATTATACTTGTGTAAAAAACCTATGAAAAAATGCGGGATTTGCAACAATAATGACAATAAAAAGCAAATATACAGATAAGACGGATTTTCCTGCGGTAACGTAATTTGTAGTAAATTTTATATAGGAATAGGCGACTTCTGGCTGCAGTTTGGGACTATGTTTATGTAGATTTCAGGGTCCACTATTAATATATATATTTTTTAATGGATAAGGCGGGTTTTGCAACTTGACGCCCCAGATATACTCATATCACATATAACTCAACATAACTCCAACTCTATATGTAAGAACAGAACATAGATAATGTATTAGCAATCTGCAAGATTTCAGCCTAGATTCTTAAATAATTACATGGTCAAGATAATCTGAAAAAAAATCTGATAATTACAATGTCCTCAATATTTCTATAAAATTTACAATTTAACAATTTAAAAAAATATATATGTCTTCTAGCACCATTGATTGTGCTAAATTAATTAAATATATAAAGAAGAATGTGATTGTAACAATAAGAATGACGTGATAACCTTTGATTTGCTTTCTTTTTTATTGAAAACTTCATTCCTATTTTATACAAGTCGATTTATATTCTACAATGATCTGAATCCTTTTCCATAGCTGTAGTTGCTGTATAGGAGCTGATCCAAATTAATCAAATAATTCATAGTCCCATTTAAAGGTATACGTATTACTATATCATTAATAACAATATCAGAGCAACACATATCAATTTAAAAATGAGACTAATTATTTCCAAAAAACCACAAATGCATCTTTTTTATATTTATCAATTTAAATAAAAAATATACAAAGAGAATATATATCGTATCAAGACTTAACGTTAGCCATAAAAATGGACTTGTATAAGTTCATTAAAATTAATGAATTTCTTTATTATCATTATTTTATAGAAACCTTATTCAATTCAAATCAAGATATTATTATGTTTTTAAAAGTATTACGATTTGCTTAAACCATGAAACATATATAATCTATATAGATATGGTGTACTTAGAAATTATACCTGTATACTATTTTTTTTAATAAACCTCTTACAAAAAATATCCTATTATTTAGATTACCAAATAAAAAAAATATGTGTTGGTTTTTCTGCTGTTGTTTCTTCCATACTTTTAAGTTTACTAACTAATTTAGATTATTTATTTATCTGACTATTAACTAATTACATTATATTGTAAAATTGTAATTTATAAACTTTATGAAATAATAAAATTCTAACTTGTATTAAGATAGGGGACATAATATACATATATTTGAAAACTAATTTTTTAATAGATACAAATAATTTTTAAAAATTAGTCATATTTGTAATTCGTCTTGTAACTACAAATAATAGATAGCAATATTTTATAGTACAGGAAGTTAAAAAATTATTTATAAGTTTTATTCTTGTTATAACTTGAATTAAGATCTTAAGTTTGTGAAAAAAGTAAAGATATTTTAAAAGACTAGAAAAATATTAAATTAAAATAAAGAAAGAGACAAATTATTTAGAGCATATATTTACAATAATTGTTAAAATATTGTTACCGTTTGATTTTATAGAATATCATTATAGAATGCAAGAATCTTTACTTTACTTACAGCTAGTACATACTAAGTAGGGCATGTATAAAAAAGAGATCACTAAATATAGAGACATTCAAACATATAACCATTGGTTAATAGTCAACTGTAACATCACTTTAATAAAGTTCACATAAGATAATTTTAACAACATATTTTTCGAAGTATCTATTTGCTGTGAGTTCTCTATCAACTTTAAGTAAAGATCTTGTAAAATGTTAGTTTTTGTAAGAGGTAATTTGTACTTAAAACAATCATCTAATTAGTGTCTTTATGTTGAGAGCCGTATCTTCCTTAGATGGTATATCAACCCCAAAAATAATAAACAAATATAGCAGTGTATTAGACATATCCCCGAAAATGTCAGATGTTTCTATAAGCAGATACTCCCTTACAAGGATTGTTCGTATATTACAATACGCTTTGATGTTGATTGTGTAAATATATATTTAGTAGTTTAAGTTAATAATTTAGGATATTATAAATAAATTACACCGTAGATTATTAGGGTAATAACAAAATGTTAGTTCAACTTTTAAGTATTTTAAGTTTCTTAGAATTAATAGTATCTGTACAATTTATTGCAATAAATATATTTTTATTTCAAAATATCTATCGTGTTGTTTAATATATCTTGATTCACATACACGTATGTTGCATTGAATTGCAACCCAAATATACTTAAACAACATAAACTATCATCAATTCCAAGACATGCCTATCAATGTTTTCTTGTCACCAATTTTTTTAAATATTGTAAGTTTGTAATTTTAACTATCCTAAGCTTAAAGCGTAATTATTGCATTAAGCACATAACTTTTAGCTGAGTAATTATTATTTTGGGTAGCGGGTAGGTACTCCTCTACGATCCTGGTGGAGAACAGGTCTACTTCAGGGATGCGACCCTGCCCACGCGAGCCATGATTTTCCTCCATCTCCTAATACCAGGAGGGAGTCATGTCCTGTCCCCTCTTTTTTTCATCCTGTCCACAATCCTATTATTCCCTCCATATACAACACTTCTTACTTCTCATTATCAGATGGATGGAACATGGGTGGAACACCCAGTGTCAAATCTGAAAACTAAATGAAATCAGTAATGGGACATTAAAGGATCTTATAATGTTTACGAAGAAGACATCGAAGATGATAATAATATAAGCAGCATTGCTAATAGAAATATTAGATATCTACCTATACGGAATTCACAAAAATATTGTCTATAAGGTTTGTAGTGTTGATTCTTAACGTTATACATATATTTTTTTAAATGTTGTTTTTTATTTTTTAAAAACACAATAAATAACTTATTTTAGTTTTTGTCATCATTGAGAATGAGTTAGGACAAAATGATTCTTTCCATAATTAAGAGTAAGTCTAAAAACTTTAGTATTTTATATAATTCTAATATCATTTACCTAGACTCTAAATTTATTTACACATTTGAGAGTTTTTTTTAAGAAATTCTGCTTCCAAAACAAGATATTAATGAAGAGTTTGCAATTCACTGTCTTATATGTAATATAAAACAACAAAGCTGTTAATAATTTTCTACATATACATATCACCCTATATCACGAATTTTACATCAAATTATTGTACCGCAAATATTATGCATATGTTATATTATCTTAAGAGAACTATTATATACTTAGCTATTTATCTGCTTGGTACAGGAACATTTATAATAATTTGTAGAAATTAGCCCCAAATTTAATCTCATAATATATATTATTGGAGTCGTATTACTGGTTGCCTAACTTTAGATTAAATCAACCATTATGAAATATTCTTATATGCCCAATGCCATAAAACATATATATTTGCATAAAACAATCCTCAGTTTATGCCTTATGCGCCCCTGAATCACCCTGAATCCAACGACATCTCGAAAAATGAGTAGAATTAAAAAACTACTGCCCTAGTTGTTGTAAAGTCGAACTTGATATTTTCGCATTCCCTTTTATAGTAACCCATTTCATTCAAATTTGCCGGTATAAGTATAAGCCCCGCCCTAATACAAAATGGCCACAGTTTTCAAGCTGTCAATAAATTAATTTCTTATTGGTCCATGTGGGCCTTTGACAATTTGTTTTTGTTTTGACTTTTGACATCTTCGTAATGGAAAGGTTGTCGCCGCGCCGGCAGAATTTTTGTTTTTGTATTGATTATTAATAGAAAAAGTTTGCTTTCCTCACGCAGTTTGAACAGTTTTCATTTTAAAGCTTGCTCAGTCTCTCCAAACAGTGAGTATTTAATTATTTTCCTTCCCAGATACGGCCATAACGTTATCCCAAGTATTCGATTGAAGGTTTTCTTCTCATTTTTTTTCTGTTGATGCATTACTCTATATTTATGATCGTATCTGGTAATGGTAATAGGGATATTTTTACCAAAGAAATAATGGGGTAGGGGTTATAATGAGTAATAACTGGTAATAACTATGGTAACTTTTTTCGCTGCTTATGTAAGTATACCTACTTTAATAATTTTACAAATATTTTTTATTTAACCCCACTATGTTCTTTCTTTGTCTTTGTATTTGTTGTTTGTTTCAGAATAATTGTTGTGTTATGTTATATCTATGTCTGTGTTTCAGCTTTGGTTTCAGTCACAATTTAACTCTATATCATACGTCGACGCCCTATGGCAGAGACATATCAGCATCAACATAACTGGCCTTACGTTTACAGGAACGAAGAAATACTGACTAAAGAACATGAAAGATGGTAAGTTCTTAATACATTTTGTACTTAAGTTATTCTAGTACTCAATTTATCTGCAAATTTTACAGCTCAGTGTCGAAAGAAATGAAGAAAGTGTACGGTTTAGCGTTTCATGTCATATTTCCAAAGTTGTATTTACATTGTAAACGCCTATTAATTTTAAAAATATGTACTCAAAAAATGGAAGCTTATGGTACAGGGAAATGGAAGAATAAGAAGAATTAGAGGGTGTAGAATAAGGTAGTTTTAAAATAATTTACATTTATTTCAGATAGTGATTGGAAATATTTTTTCATATGAATAGCTAGAGAATACCACTGCCAAGTCTGAGTAAGACATGAAACAATCTGGATATTGGAATGTTCTGTTACAAATAATGTAAGTTTTTTAATTTTATTTTTTATTTAACACTAGATTGCTTTTTTTAATTTTTTTACAAATAGAGAGGCAACATGTTCTGAGACGGTGAAATCTTATCTTCAGGCTCAAGCTAAAATTTGAAAGGACAAAATCAAAAGAAGTAAAAAACTTCATAAAAACAGTCAAATAAGCACAAGTTGAATTCTTCAAGTTTTTTAATTTCTATTTTAAAATGGCTTAGAAATTAGGAGCTTTATAAATTACTAATCAGTTTCAACAAGTAGCAGAACCACTTTATAACAAATGCCTATTTGAGATACATAGTTTTAACTTTATAATGACTTGGTCAGTCAGTCTATGGTACAACTTTATTGTGTAGGTATGTATTTGAGATTCATTGCTTAAATTTTATAGAAGAAAATACAAATGTATACAAAATAAAACATATGAAACTAATTTACATACACTAATTAACATACTTACATATGTATAAATTTAAATATTAAAAAACTATATGTAATTTGTATTTGTCTTTTTATTACTTGACTTGTATTGAGTTGTGTATTTGATTTTCTGGACTTCTTTTGACTTTTTTCTTAAATTTTTTAGCTTGGGTCTGAAGATTAGACTTCACCGTTTCGAAACATGTCGCCCCCTATTTGTAAATCACTTTCAAATAAAAAAGAATTAATGTAAGATTGTAAGGATACTGTGTCTTATTACCTCATTGGAGGATATTCATTAGAATTCTATTAATCAATAATGATGGTGACTTGTTTAATTTTTTGTTTTTTTTTTGGATTTATTAATCATAAAAAGCAAATATAGTATAGAAACATTTTTTTAAATAATAAATATACTGTTTATTAAGGCATTCATTTGGCCCACTTTTTTCTAATTTAACCCACTATGTAAAGTTAAAATTAAAATATTGTTAACAAAGACGGCTGTGAGACTTCATTCTAATTGGTCAACTGACATATGTCATGACGTCTTCCGGAAATTGGCGTCAGGCATGTCCATTTTGAATGCCGAGAGATCCTTAAGTTTCTGTCGCCGGCATTTAAAATTTTATAATTTTTTTAATAAAACGTGAGTTTTGTGTACACCGTTTTTGTTCGTAAACTCTTGTTTTTGGCATCGCTCAGCTCCACAATAAGTGAGTCCTCGATATTTTCTTTGTATTTCATTATATTATCTCTAATATTTTTTGCAATCTTGTAACCGTCATGGCGTCTTCGCTTTTCTTTTCTTTATATTTTTATTCTTGGTTTTCGATTTGTATTTATTACAGAGCATTAAATATCACACATTTTGTGAAAATTTTAGTGCTGTTTAAAACTCTACAAGTTCTTTTCTTATTCAGTTCTAAACAATTTTCATCTTTTGATTTTTTCGTCCGACGCATAGTTTTTACATTAAAAAATTATTACTTTAGTGTTAAATGGCTAAAAAAAAATCTGATTCAGTGATTGCTGATGTGGAAATCGTTTCTGCATCGGCCTATTTGTCAAAAGTTAAGATATATAGGACATATGTACATTCATATGGCGCTTTTTAGAGTAGGTCTAAAATCACCTTCTTAAATATTAACATGTCATTAAGGAATACCCTGTGTATATCCTCAGGGGCTTACAGTTTATGAGTACGGGCGTGGTAAACCTGAGATGCCCTAGCTGGAAACTCACTTTGCTTCGACGTGTCTTGGGTGATATACATTTTTTTCTTCCCAGCGATTTCCCTTGATCTCTAGTTTTCTTTTGAGCTTTTTTCTCTCTTAGTTGTCAAAAGCCTTACAGTGTTTTTTCTTTTCTTTTCAGGCTTGGTTTAATACTACACATCAGGACACTGTCGCCCAGTGGCCGAATTATTAATTAACTCGATGACATCATTAACTGTCATCGATTTACATAAGTAAATTTTGCTGATGGTGCCCCTATGAATTGGATCAAACAGTGACGCTCCAGGACACGACGCGGCCTCCTTTCGAAGAGGAGATCTGGATCATCTCAAACTTGATGGTCTGCGTAGCATGCATAGGTATCCATGGGAGTCACCGGCCTCTGGTTTACGAGCTAGGTGTTTTAATGCTAGAGGCTTCAGCCGGATACTACCTAGCACCCAAGCTAAGACACTTCTTCATGCACGTGTTGCGTGGCACCTCGAGGGCGTAGGGGACTTGATACCAACATATTTGAAGATGAGGAGAGGGGTGAGGCCTGTAATGAGTCCCAGTGGTAGGTCGTTCGATGGGAAAGGAGACGATCTCAGATAAAGCTGTTTAATTGGAATCGAGAGTGACCGGTGAGGCATTATAATCGAAAAGTGTCAAATCTGCAGAAGGGGACACCCACACCTCGGACGCGACGTGAAGGATATTTTGTTCTGCATCTGCTTGACGTCGATTTATGGATAGAGATTCGGGATAGACAGGCTAGCAAACCTCAGCTTAACCTAAAACCAACTAAAGTAAGTTTTTTTTTTCTATTAACGCTTTCGAAATTGATTTTTTTTTTCTATTTTTCTAGAATAATTCAAGTTTGTTGCGTGTTTAAATCATTGAAGATTCCAGATGAAATATTGCAAGACGTGTGTGATTGATTCTAAAGTTTCTTCGGATTCCCCCAGGCATCGTCTCGAATACCGGGTGACGTGTTACCAACTCTAGGGAATCATCTCAGGACCAGGGAGCTGGGTTACTCGCCATGCCCAAGTGCAGCTTGACTTGATGTATTGGTAAATAAGATGATGGAGCAGGAAGATAATAATACAATAGAAGAGGACTTGGATAATAAGAAGAATAGAAGAGGAAATAGGAAATTGAGATGATGGGAGAGATCAATGAAAATGTCTTTAAAACAATGGAGGGAAAATTATAAGGTAGCTTTTAAACAATTTACTTTGCATTTTACAGATACTTACTTGAAGTTTTATTTTTTCAGTAGAATTGCTGGTGAATATTGACAAGTCTGATAGGGAGGTTTAGCTTTTTGAGAGGACATGCAGACAATCTTACGAGTGGTCAGTGCATTGCTCATGCTGAGGAAGTACTTGTTTTTAGCTAAATATTTCTTCTATAAATGTAAGTCTAATAGATTTCTAATGGCATTTGCTTGTAAAATATGTAAGTTTAAATTTGATCTTCTCTAAACTGGTATTGAATCTAGATAATTTAAACATTATATTTTATCTACTATTAACAATTACATTTAAATCATATGTTATGGGAAAAGCTAGAAATTAATTATTTCTTTTATTTTAGGAAACACTGCAATATGGTCTGTCCTCTGGTCTGTCCTCTCATACCTTACAAAGTCACAACTGTAAAAATAGATTGTTCTAGCTCATGAAACAATCTGAAAGTGGCAACGTTCTCTTACAAATGTAAGTTTATAATGTTATTTATTTTTCTTAACACTAATATCTGTCTGATTTGAATAGTTCAATGATTGTATATTATTAGGTTACGATGAAACCAATTCTTACTTATTTATTTTATTTTAGGGAATATTACAATACAATATAACACTCGGCTAACCTCCTATATGTTGATGGAACAGCAGCTAGCAGCGTATTTTATAATTAAGGCTGATTTACACGTATCCACGGCGTACGCCGGTTTCACTTTGACGCTTGCACTGGCATGGTAGTGACCACGCCAGTAATTAGTATTAACTTTATTTTTTTATATGTATATTCATTTTATTTTTTTTTAAATTATTAAATTCAGCTAGAGTGCTTAGTAAGTAATATCTATGCTAATATACTTTATTACTACAAAAAAAACTACTTTTATTCTTGTATTATTGCAACTTGAAATTTTAAATTTTCGTGTTTATTTGTATTAGTTAATTTTTTTAGCTCAGCACAGTTATATAATTAACAACTGATAATTAAAGTAATTAAATGCAGTAATACATAAATAGAATTAGTTTTATGAATGTTATATGAATATGTTACTTGAATGGTACACATAAGCTGATTATATTTTATTTCAAAGTATCACTTTATAAGGATAATTGTTCTCCATATGCTGGCATTTCATAAAATTTTTATATTCTACTCTTAAAAATTTTACTCATCGTTCTTGTTTAGTTTAATCATAGATTGTCATCATTTGAAGACTTGAAGTAAATAATGTTCTAAGTGCCAAAAAATCAGTTTGTCATGATAAGTGCCACAACCATATACATATATATATATATATATATATATATATATATATATATATATATATATATATATATATATATATATATATATATATATATATATATATATATATAAAGCGCTAAGTATTGAGGCTAAGAGGCTATCAAATTGTATTGAAAAAAATTCCCGACAAAGAAACCGCCCGTTCTTATGGGTTATATAACAAAAAATGTTCGAAATAATGATTTTGGCACTTAAAACATCATTTACTTCATTTCATGTATTCCTAAATGAGTTTAGTTACTTTTAAAAATCTTTTTATATAATTATTATCTATACATCAGTGGCAACGAGTAACAGCTCTAAGCAAGTTTTTATTATCCATATTCATACATTGCTGAAAAATTTAATTAAGAAAAGTAATGCTACAAGTTAATCCTAAGCTAAAAGCCTAGGATTAATTTGTAGCATAGAATAGTTATTTTAATTAAATTTCTTAATGATGCTAATATAATTTATATATAATATACTACAAATAATGATATCTTCTGTTTCTAAGTTACTGTAATTTTTAACAGCTGATATTTTTAGACTAATATTTTACATTTAATCTATTAATTATAAAGTGATTAATATAAATAGAAATAGTATTTTGAAGCATATTATATAAATGGAACCGACAAATATAGTTCAATATATTATATATTTATGTTAAATAGAGCAATCTGAAATCTATTTCGCTAGTGCTATCTCTTGTATACGCGAGGTAAATATTTTAATGCTATGTTATTAATCTACTAACAATTTAATTTTATCAGCATACTGAAATTATAACTGATTTATATATTATATTTAATAACGGCATTTCTCGATATTTATGTTGTTTGTTTTGATTTTTTATTTCATGTAATTTAATTTACTCCTGTTTTTCACGAAAAAATATTAACTTCTACGTATACAATCTTATACAACTGTGTCCACCAGCATGTTTCAATATATTTATTAATATGGGCACAATATGCAAATAGGTTCAGAGATCCCTACAATTCCATATATTGTTTTTATTTATGTTTTACTTACTGTCTAGGTAAAACTGTCTATCATTTTCTATTATGTCATGTTTATATTAGGATATATTTGATATTAATAAATGTCAGTATTTTTGTTTCTTCGAAGATTTCATACACTGTAGTGTGTATCTCTCCATACACACACTACTGTAACCAACACAAGACTTTGTTGTCCCCAGTGTGAAATACCACACTGACGTACACCAAAACCCATATATATAATGTAAGTTTTGAGCCGGACGGTCTTTTGTTAACTTAAAATATAGATAAATTTTTTTTGCAAATATTTGTTTTATTTTCTTTTTAAATTTTTAATCTACTGTGGCGCTCTAGCGGCCAAAGGATGAACTAAAATTTTAGTTTCACTCTTTGACACCAGGGCGCTGCAGCCGCATAATGTTTTAAAGATTGGCGCACTCTAGCGGCCAAACGCTGAACTAAAAATTTAGTTTCAGCCTTTTGACACCAGAGGGCGCTGCAGTCGTATAAATTTTTGAACGAATGTGGCGCCTCTAGCGGCAGAACACTGAACCAAAAATTTAGTTTCGGCCTTTTTGACACCAGAGGGCGCCGCAGTCGCATAAATTTTTGAACGATTGTGGCGCCTCTAGCGGCAAAACACTGAACCAAAAATTTAGTTTCAGCCTTTTGACACCAGGGGCGCTGCAGTCGCATAAATTTTTGAACGAATGTGGCGCCTCTAGCGGCAAAACGCTGAACTAAAAATTTAGTTTCAGCCTTTTGACACCAGAGGGCGCTGCAGTCGCATAAATTTTTGAACGAATGTGGCGCCTCTAGCGGCAAAACGCTGAACTAAAAATTTAGTTTCAGCCTTTTGACACCAGAGGGCGCTGCAGTCGCATAAATTTTTGAACGAATGTGGCGCCTCTAGCGGCAAAACGCTGAACTAAAAATTTAGTTTCAGTCTTTTGACACCAGAGGGCGCTACAGTCGCATGAATTTTTAGAATATTCAGAGTAAAATTCTTAAAATTTACAAAAATGAAACCCAGAATTATTTTAAAACGGATTTATTAAAAGTTAAAAAGATCAACATAGGTTACATAGCATATTTTACATTACCTATAATATTATTCTACATTATTATTAGTGGTAATATTCGTAAAGCGATATTACACTAATAATAATGTAATTAGTGTATTCAGTATGACATACAACACGCACATTGCCCTGTGTATGTACATGAATATCTATTACTACATACACACACAACACATGTAGGTACTATATCAAATTATAGTACCTACTGTGGTGGTATGTACCGTATGATCGAAAAAAACGGCGTCAGCGATGGCTATGAAATGAAGATCGCTGTCATTTTATATGGAAATTTTTATGGGAGATGTCATCGATCGACATTTCCCAGCCAACTGGACACCGTTTTTTCTCGATCATGCGGTATATATTATACACACACAGCAAGCGCTTACCCGCAAAACCTACTTGATTTCATAGTATTATGAAATCAAGTAGGCTCTGATAGTTACAAGAAACAGTTCTAGTAGAACTGCCATGGCTGTATGTGACACCAAGACGGCATATGGAAGTTCTTCTAACGCCGCCTTGGTCCCTGGTTAGGTACAGCCAGTTCTCCTTGCCCGCTACAATTGCAGCGAACAAGGCCAACAGTGAAAGATTCATTGGAATACTAAAAGGATTGTGCAGCAGTGCGACCCTAGCTGTAACGATCCAAAATATATAGCAGCTCTGGGTCGCTATATCCAGAGGTTTTGCACCGATATGGCCACCTAAAGAACTTTAAGTTATTAAACTTATACTCCTTTTAGTTTATGGTTTCCTACTGTAAATTTCGATTACAGAATTTGAAAACTTTTTGTAGGCAAGGCCAACTGCGAAGGTAAAAAACTAAAAAAAAGATATTAGTGGCCTGAAATCGGCTTATAAGGGCGTAAAAAAGGTAAGTAGCTGTCGCAGAATTTATAGAACTTTTCAGGTACGTAGTACTTTTCAGTTTTAATATAAAATATCGTGTGACTGAAGAAAAATTACATTACAGTTTGCGTAATTATTATATAATATATATTAGAATAAATATATCTCAAACTAGAGGAATAGTTTAATTCGAAACTAGTTGTACATGGTTATGGGGGGCTATTGACGCTATTCGAATAAGTATTGTAGATAAATGGTTAGATTTTTAGAAGTGATTGGCGAATGGTCGTTGAGGGTTGATAACTAGAGCTAAAAATTAATTTCATAATGTACAAATTGTACCTTATTAAATGAAAAAATCTGGTTTTAAAAACTTATTATATAATTAAAATTTTAAGAAACAGTCCAGTGCAAATTTGAATGGTATATAGAAGGCTTATAAAAAATTCCTTTATAAAAAGAAAAAATTAGGCAAAGAAATGTAGTAGACAATGAACTATAGGCGCGGAGCAAAAGTTGAGACATTGACGACAGCCACTAATCTAATCTTACCCTTTCTACATCGCCGATTTACACCGCAGCAAAATCCTTTAATATCCCACAAATAAAAGACCTCATACATTTTCGCATAAAAATACAGGGGGTTCATTATAGGTATGTGACAAATTTATATTAGCACACTCAAAATCGAACGCTCAAGTTCAATACTAATAATGATGTATGTTAGTCAAGTCATATTAAAAACATTACTAGAATTAAAAATAAAAATTAGGGCTTTAGTTTCTAGATAAATGAAAAAAAAATGGCTTTAGTTAATAATATCAAGCATTTTTAAGCCAAAATACGATGTAAAGTTAGTTAATAACGTGTAATTCAAATTAAACAACTAGTTGTCTATAATTTTAAAACACTTTTTTAAAAAATGATACGATTGATAACTATGTCATGATTTTTTGTCTATAACCTAATAAGTGATTTAAGAATGACTTTAATAAACATAATAATTAAAATGTTACTTAATATACTGTTATGTTTATAGTTTGCTCTAAAAGACAGATAATTAAAATGAATTCAATTAGAACACTCCCTGTAAAGCAGTGAATGAGATCTTTCGATGAAACTAAAATACTGATTTTTATTAATATCAAATAAATCCTAATATATAAACATGGCATAGAAATAATGGACCAGTTTTGCACAGTAAGTAAAATATAAAAATAAAAACAAATATACGAAATATAGTAGCGATCTCTGAACCTGTATTTCCCTATTTGCTTTTGGGACCCATAAAATGCTGAAGAAATGAATTGAAACACGCTGAAGGACTGAATTGTATAAGATTGTATACTTAGAACTTATTTTTTTTTTTCGTAAGAAACAGGAGTATATATTGAGACCGTGTTGAGAAATGCGTTATTAAATATAAAACAGTCTTATAATTTCATTATGCTTTTTTAAATTAAATTGTTAGTAGATTAATAACATAACATTAAAATATTTATTTTACTTCGCGTGTACAGATAGCACTAGAGTGAAACAGTCTTCAGATCGCTTCTATTTAACAAATATATAATGTATTATACTGAAGTATTTGTCGGTTTCATTTATATAATATACTTCAAAGTACTATTTCTATTTATATTAATGATCACTATAATATAATTAATTGATTAAATGTAAAATATTGGTCTAAAAATATATCAACAAAGCTGGTTAAAAAGTACAATATAACTTATAAATAATAGAATATAGCATTATTTTTGCAGTATATTATATATAAAATAAGATTTTTTGATTTTTATATCCTTCCCCTCGCTAGAGGATTTCTATTTATAAGTAATCTAGTTGATAAATATGATAATGGCCATACAGAATTACATAATTCGTGTATCTTTAGTTGCATACCCATTAGAGAAAGAAATAAGAAGAAATCGACGTTAGAGCTAATAGACTATAATAATATATTTTATTAGCATTATTAACTAATGTAATTTAAATTATAAAATATGTCTTTCTAAAAAATACGTATTAAAAAATTTTAAATAGTATTCTTGAAAACAGTAACATTTATCATTAGGTTTGGTTTGGTTGTGAAAATATAGACTTAAAATGTAGAAATATATACTTAAAATTTAAAATTACCTACATTAGTTAATTATATGTTAATATAATATAGTTTTTATTGAAAATTTACAACGAACCTGCTTATGAAAAACAATTAAAAATCACTAGAGTGCTTATTTTAATTTTTAAAAGTAGCTCTATGAATACAAATACCCCAAAATACCATTTATTAAAAAGAACATTGCTTTGAAACCGGCTAAATAAACTGAGTAAATGTATTAGATAATAATTTAGGTAGTTAATTTAGTTGCTTTAATAAAAAAAATAAGACTATAATTTTTAATGAAAAAATATTAATTCTTCATTATAAAATAAAATTAGTCTATTTTGAACTGTAATTATTAATTTTGAAGAAGTCCCAAGGAGGAAAGATATTCACTGAAAAAAAACAATTTTAAAAACTTAAAAGTTATGCCACAGTATAGTTTATATGCATATTAAATATATTTCTTTCCATGTATGAAAAATTTAAATTGGAAATAGTAATATATAAATTAATATCAGAAAAAAATGGCACACTCATTTACCATAACAGTTGAAAGCAATGAATTATAAATTGTAAGAACAAAGTTTTGATACCATTAAAAAAATAATGTAATTATATGACCACATTAGTGACGCTTTTGCGCAAGTAAAATATATGAAAGAACTGTGATAATCTGGAAATTCTATGGGTTGTTAGAACCAATAAAAATTAAAAAATATGAAAGATGTCATAGCAATCAATGTAAGCAATAATGACTGCTTTTATAGTTATTATAGTTATATTACTGCTAATAATTATTGTAAAGTTGTGCATTATCTAAACAAACAAAATTTTTCTGGCATAATAAAAATATTTTTGCAAAAGAATAGAGAAGTATGATTATAGAAATCATGGATGATAAAGTATCAGCTTTATAACTTTTTTTGCAGTACAGTGACATGTTTAGAGTGTAAAGTTTGTCCAGATTATCAAAGTTTTAAAACAATACCAGAATAAAAGTAGACTCCCTATGCACGTAATATACAGACCCAAACTTCTGGTATATTTTGAAGGAGTAGGAGGAATGTTCGCTAAATGGTGTTGAAGATGAGAAGCTGGAGGGAAACAATAGCCAGAAGCAGCAAAATAAATACCTACAAGTAAAAATATTATAAGTAACAAGTACCGTATGATCGAATAAAAAACGGCGTCAGCGATGGCAAGTCAACTGGACGCCGTTTTTTTTTTCGATCATACGGTGTTTCAGCAAAATAAAACACTAACTCACCACAATACAACAAAACACTTAACTTTTCCACTAACTACGTTACCATCATCAGCAGACGATTAAAGTAATGAACTAACGAAACGCGTATCCAGTGCAAAAGTGTTTTTGTGCATTGTGGTAAATGAGTGTTTTATTTTGCTATTGTAACACCAAGGTTCATACCCCCAACTGTAACGTATTTCTATAAGATACTCAACAACTGTTTGCCTAAATATCTAAGAAGATATTTCAATTTTATTACTCGAAGAATTTGAATATTACTATAAAATTCTTATGACAAAAAATAACTTTCAAATAGAAAAAATACCGTCGAGATATTATAAAAATACCAAAACTTAGAATAAAGGCAGCTGCATTTTTTTTTATTTTTTTTATTCTGCATATATCTCTCGTCTTTTATTATTGCCCTTCAGTGCTTTTTTACTATATATCTAATGAATATAAACGCTGATTCCACGTATCCAGTAGCTGGAGCCACCTTCACTGTTACTTCAGCACTGGCATAGATGTAGCATCGTGTAAACACATCTCAATATCAATCAATACAATAAAGTATTTTCATGGTGCCACTACCATGCCAGTGCTGGCGTTCCAGTGAAACATGTGTAGACTACTACGTGTAAATCAACCTTAATTATAAAATTAGAAATGGTTTCTTACTTTTAACAAAAATACTGGTAGCTCTATTAATCCTGAGATTTGTGAACAAGTCAAGACCATCTACTGCTGCTGTTCCATCAACATATGGGAAGTTATCCGAGTGTTAAGAATACGTCTTGTAATATTCTCTAAAATAAAATAAACCAAATAAGTATTATACAATCATATACAATCACTGAACTATTCAAATCAGGCAGCTATTAGAGTTAAGAAAAATAAATAAAATTATAAACTTACATCTGTAACAGAACGTTGCCATTTCCAGAGTGTTTCATGAACTAGGACAATCTATATTTACAGTTGTTACATTGTGAGATACAAGAGGACAGACCAGAGTCTTTAGACCATATTACAGTATTTCCTAAAATAAAAGAAATATTTAATTTCTAGCTTTTCTCATAACATACGATTTAAGTGAAATTTTTAATACTAGATGGAATTACAACATAATAAAATAATATATAAATTATCTAAATCTAATCAATACAATTTTTCAAAGGATTAAATTTAAACTCACATTTTTTACAAGCAAATTCCAGTTTCTAGATTGCTTCAAAACTTGGACAATCCTCTGAAATACTAAGGCATACGATATCATCATGTATAGCATGAGAGGGACCAACCGAAAGTGTTGAGACTATAATATATTCCCTGAAAGAAAAGAAAATAAAAAAAAAGAAATCCATTAAGATTTACAAATTTTCCAAATAAAATTTTCTTCGGCAATATAATAATAGCAACTCTAATTAGTATTAAGCAATAAGAAATCTATTAAACTTACTCTATAGAAAAAATATTCAGCTGAAGAAAAGTTCTTTCACATCTTGAGCCCCGCATTGACCCCTCGTAAAATGTCTGCACACACACACACACATGTCCTCTCAAAAAAGCTAAACCTCCCCGTCAGACTTGCGAATATTCACCAGCCATTCAACTGAAAAAAAAATCTAAATAAGTATTTGTAAAATGCAAGTAAATCGTTGCCAAGAAAAATGTTTACACGGTACCACTACCATGCCAATGCTGGCGTACCAGTGAAGCTGACAACAGCGACTGGATACGCGTAATTCAACCTTAAGTAAAAAATTAGAAATGATTTTTACTTTAGCTCTACTGGCTCTATCTCCGTATGCTTACTAGCTCTAGATATTATTCTTACGTAACTCTATCAATTTTGAAATTTGTGAACGAGTCATGATAATCCTGCGTTCCATCTACATATATGAAAGGTTTTTATTATATTATGGAAACTTTTCGCAAAATGTGTGATATTTAATGCTCTGTGATAAATAATATCTATAATAGCCTTAAAACAAATCGAAAACCAAGAATTAAAAATATTGAGACAAGAAAAGAGAAGACGCCATGACGGTTACAAGATTGCAAAAAAATTAATCGAGATATAATGAAACATAAAGAAAATATCGAGTACTCACTTATTGTGGAGCTGAGCGATGCCAAAAACAAGGGTTTACGAACAAACATAGTGTACACAAAACTCACTTTTTATTAAAAAAAATCACAAAAATTTAAATACCAGTGACAGAAAGATGCGGATCTCTTGACATTCAAAATGGACATGCCCAACGCCAATTTCCGGAAGACGTCATGACATATGTGAGTTGACCAATAAGAAAGAAGTCACAGCCGTCTTTGTTAACAATAATTTAATTTTAACTATACATAGTGGGTTAAATTATTAAAAAGTGGGCCAAATATTAATGCGGTAATAAATAGTACTGAATTAATTATTTATAAAATAAAAAATGTTTCTTGGGCAGATTTATATACTATATTTGTCAGATGTCGACAAAGTTGTTCACAAGATGTCAAAACAGGTGTTCGAGATTATTTTCAAAGATATTTGTTGATGGACCAATAAGAAATTAATATACTGACACCTAGAAAACAGTGACCATTTTGGATTAGAGCGGCCCTTGTACCGGCGACTTTATGAATGAAATGTAGGTTACTATATAAAGAATGCGAAAATATCGGTGAAGTTCAACTAAATAAAACTACAACTAGGGCAGCATTGTTGATATGAATGAAGTTTAAATGTCACTTATGACAAATAGTTTTTTGGGGATCTCTCGGGAGTGGATAGGGCTCGGTCCTTGAGGAAGATCTCGTTGGATTCGGGGAAGCAAAAGGAATGCCACGACAATAGTTTCATCTTTCTGCAACCCCTATTTTAGAGGTAGTTTTTAATTTTATTTTAATTTTATGGATAATTAATTCGTTGGATCCAGGGACGCAAAAGGCATGAACTGACAGTAGTTTCATCCCTCCGCAGCCTCTATTCGGGGTAGTTTTTAATTTTTTATATATTTTGGGAATAAATCAAGAACATATGCGACTATTATATAACTCAATTGATGTATTGTAGGTTTCGAGCCGCATATATAAAAATGTTTATTAGTAAGGAATGCAGTTATATGGGACAAATTCAACTTTACTATAACTGGGACAGCTATCATTGTTTTAAACGTCCATTGCCAGTAACAAATTAAAAATAGAAAATATGTGTCTAAAACTTTGTGAAAGTAAATTTCAGTTTTATATTCTCCATCGCCCAGTGCATCTAAGAGCTCTTTTTCGAGCATGTAGAAAACTTGAAAAGCGTGGATAATCAACGTTTAATTGCAGGGCTTAAGCTTTAGCGCTCAAGTATTTTATGAAGCTGCTACAAGATTAATTTCGCTTTAACTGAAACGAAATTCGACAGTAGTTACGGTCATTTTGGTCGGTCGATAATATAAATCGGTTCAAGAATTAACAGAAAATTGAAATGGGAGCCATATTTGCACTATACTGGTAAATTTTTAGGTCTGATTAAACATTTCTTTTCTCATTTTTTCCATCGTTTGGCGCGAGATCCTTAGTCTCTCATCGACACAATTCGACAGCACCCAGTCAAAGTATTAAAGTTATGTTTATCGTTTCCTTGGAGAACCAAATAAGTAATTTTTTATTAAATTTTCCCGCTTTGACGATGCCAGACTGTATATATATATAATAAAAATTTAAAAAAATTACAATACAATTATTGTATTGTAAATTTTCGTAAAAATAAAATCGTCGACTAGAGATGTCCGTTTATGGATGTGTCCGAAAATAGGAGTCCGAAAAGAGGTTTTACTGTATAATAAATTTAGAAAGATGAGTTCATATATCCATTGTAAACCAATTTTATAATAATGAGACACCAAGAAGTTCATGTTTTTGGAATGTTTTTGGAATTTATTTGATTCTTTCCAATAAAAATATAGCAAAGTTAAATAACTATAAATGATGGGTAGTATATAATTTTCTATCAAAAAATTTGGAACATTTGATTGACAGCTACAAAATATCTAATTATTGAACTTACTTATTTTATGCTTTCAAAATTAAATAATTTTTATACAAACTGGCATTCTCATCGGAGCCTCCGCGTTGTATGAGGGGGACCACCCTGTATGAAAATTTCCACAATATGGCATCACTGAGATATTTTTTTTTGTAAGCCCAAGAAAAAGAAACAAGAACCGCTACTGCGTCAAATAAAAATCGTCCAAATCCACCAATTTAATTATATGAGACACTTTCTCTTTTACTTATAGCGGCTCCAGATATTTTCGGCAATACAAATAAAATTATCAAGTAAAATAAGTTGAATTTGAAGACGCCGCACGGACGGAAGACTTAGTCAAACGAATCGAGAATAAGGATCTGTATTTTATAATCCCCCAAAATCAATAATATGGCACTGTAAAATATAAAATCTTATTCTAAGAGACTTAAAATTTAATAAAAGATTTCCTTCAATCGGATATTGCGTGGCTATTGTTACAGACACTGGCAAAGATTATATTATATACCAGTGTAGCTCGAAAAATATCAGATTTAACAAAAAAATATATTTCTACATTCTTTTTAATTTTTCCTTTGTAGCTTTCTTAGAAATTTAAACATTTCTCACATAAAGAGAAATTAACTGCTATTTCCAGTGTTTCCAACACTTTAAATAGTAGAAGAATATAATATATAGAGGACAACTAATACACAACTCGGAATCTCTACTACCAGAAATCAACAGACAACCATCATCAGACAACTTTCAATCATGACATATGCATGATTGAAAGTAGATGACATATGCATGATTGAAAGTAGATGAAAAGGACGGGCAAAGAAAGATGAGTTCACATATCCATTGTGAACCCATTTTTCCCTTCCACTTAAAAATCTGGAAACTAAATGGAATTTGATGATAATGAGAAATTACCAAGAAGTAAAGCTCATGTTCTTAGAATATTTTTGAATTTATTCTGTCCAATAAAAATATAATAAAGTGAAATGACTACAAATCGTCCCATTGCTGCCAAAAGTCACTAACTTACTTTTTATTACTTCCGAGAAAAATGCATCTAAAAATGAATTGCATTGCATAAAGATGTTATAGTTAGTAACTATTCGGTATTATAATAAAACATAAATAGCCAGAAATCGTAGTTAATGACTTTTGCAATCGATTCTCCGCTTCAAAACATCGTTAATGATTGAATTTGGTTGTTCGGAAAAATGTTAGTTAGTGACTTTTGGCAGCAATAGGACGAAATGTTGTATGTAATGTTCTATCAAAAATTGGAACACTTGATTGACAGCTATAACATATCTGATTATTGATTGCCAGAATTTAGGTAGACGAGCTCAAGATCTTCTTCTTTATTTATACTGTAAGAGCCTACTGTACAATTTTTTTTTATTAATATGTTATGTTTATATGCAAATTAGTAATGTTTTCAAGTCGCAAGACGAAGATAAAATTTGCCTTTTTAAGTTATTAAAAAGTCACAAAAATATATAATTAAATGTTACATTTAATAAAGAATGTAGAAAGGGAGACGATGAAATTTCAAAATATTATGCACAGAAAAATTGAAACAATAAAATTATACAACAAAATAAAGCATTCTTTTGCCGTTAGCAATTCAGAAAAAATACTGTTTCTTTATTATTTACTTTCTTAAATAATAAAGACAGAAGTACAAAGAAGCTTTTTATTTTTTTATTTCGAATAAAAATATTTGTTCATATTCCTGTTCATTTAGGGTAAATTACTTTTCCAGTATTTTGCCGAGTTAAAGAACACAAAAGCCTTCTTATTGCAGTTTATATAAATATAATAATGAAATTACTGCTGAACTGTTAATATTTTAAATTTATTGATTTTGAGTTTTTTTAGAATATTGTAGTTACAACCTGTAGCTACAAACCATAATGCATAATATGTAAACATTATGCATTATGGTTTGTATAAAATTCTGAACACAAATAATACGAAATATCTTCTCTTATTTTTTAGCTGATGAAAATATCAACCTGTTATAATATTTATATTATTTATAATTTATATTTAGGGGGTGTATACAAAAAATGCTTTAAATTATATCTTGATATATTGTTCCATCAAAGTCGCTTCCTTCATTATTTATTTACGAAATTCCTGTGTATTTTGTCTTGGTAAAAAAAAGAAAAAAATCCTCTGAACCTGATAAACGGAGAATTCCAAGATAAATACCGATAATATAATACTAAATGTATAACTTCCCGCGATTCACGTTATATTTTATTAATTCTGCCATAAATACTCTCCACTTGCATTGAGTTCTAGGTTTCCTAAATTACGGTAGAATGATATTTCAAATAAATATAAAAAAAAATATTAAAAATATATAATTTCTATTTTTTATTTTAAACATAGTTTGCACTTCGGTTTGCGATAAAAAAACGAATAAAATAAATTTCAATCAACCAAGCTCAATTATTCAATCCGCACAGAATTAAAAGGTGTAAACAAAAAAACATTACTTAAAATCTAGATTTTTGTTGTACGTGGTGGTTTCATTTTATCCAGATCAATTATATCTACATATCTCATAATTTGGTTGAGCTACATCGATGAAATATGTATAAGATTTAACTGAGTAGTGGAAGCTAGTAATTCTCATTAATTCGGTCTATTTGGATTTGGATGATTATTTTTTTAAAGATCTATAAATTATTCTCCATATCCCAAGCTACTTGCTAAAAATGCATCCTTGTCCTCAAAGTGTAGATGTTAATTATAGTATCTGATTTTCACCTGCTAGGTGATCAATGACCACTTCTTCATATTTGCTCTCATGAATTAACCATTTTCCTGAAAATTTCTTGCTTCTTTGCCAGTTACTAGGCTCCTTCTTCGAAGACATATAGGATTTCATCTCTATATGTTTTGCTCGACATCCCTGAACAATTTACTAGATCGAAAAGTCTGTGGTCATCATAAAACCAAGCTCTCACCATTTACCTTTAATGAATTGAGTAAATTGGTTCTGTGGGGGCGTCACTCCACAAAGCAAAATATCTGGAAATTCTGGAAACTACTATGTAGATTACTTCCTCTGGGAGATGCAAGACCTTGCCATTGGTGGGGAAGCTCCTAGTCAGGTGCTAGGGGGAATCCCCTCTGGTACTTTAGATGGGTCTGAGGAGCATCCCATTGTCTTGTCCCTGGCCGTACTGTCGTGGCCAGGGAATTACACCAAGACGTATAACTATAATATATCCGTCATATCAGGTACCCTCTACTGTCTGTGATCATGTATCACGGGCGGAAGGTGTGAGAAGTCTTAGCTTAACCACCTGGACCAAGAGGAGACAACCTCACCAAAAACCTAAATCCTATGATAGCGGAACCAAGTCAAAGGGATGCGTAGCTAGAAAGAAGATTAGCCTCTACCTGGTCGCAATCTTGGGACACCAGGGGGCAACCCATTGATTTCTCGTCTCTTTTAGTTCTACATGCTAGGCTCTGTAGAAGTGGACTAACAAACCGTTGCAGTATATAACCAGCTTTGCCAGAACTCTAATGTAAAGACATCGAGTTTGTGAGTCATCAACACGAGGAGGAGGGCCATGGACAGTTCCTCACAATAGAAATTGACCTCAAATCCAACGAGGCAATAGAGAAAGAGAGATATAACTCTATTATAGATCCGGGACTAGAACGGTATCAGCTCTAAGGAGAGATCAAGTTAAACTGGTGGAGAAAATGGAGACAGATCCTCCAGCCACCACCTCAAGAGTACCTGAGCCGGAGAGAAGCTGTATGGAAGGATGTATACTATCCTAGGAGGTAGATGTCTACACCTCAGAGGATGAACAATTATTGTCAGAGGAGGATGGCAGATACCCTGTCCCTCCTACAACAGAAAGATCCCAATGTATGATAAGTTATATACTGTATGATAAGTTATAACTCTGATAAGATGGGGGGACACAATAGGCAGTTAAGGTCGAGGTAATTTACCCCTACCACTCATTCCACATTCTACATGTATATTTAACGTTAATATGATTCTGAATACTACTTTTAGTCTATTTCCGATGAACACTGCCAATATAAATCACCTAGAATGCAATAAGCCAAATTTGAAGCGATGTAAGTTTGCACGCGCATCTCAATTGAAAAAAGAATGTAATATTTCAAAATAGACCGAAAAATTCCAATACCGCTTCAGTCTGTAGTGTTGGTGTCCGAATTGAAAAATGTTATGTTTAAAATTTTCCAAATTCTACTTTAAAAGCCCCATCATTTGAGGGCGCAGGTTCTTGCCAGCAAGCCTGGATACTGCCGAGCGCTGGATCACCTCAGTTTACTCGCGCAGTGCAATCTTGGCACATGCTGCCCCGGTCTCATAGATTCTACGACACGATCCTTCCGAGCCTGGTGAGTAAATACGCGCCACAACTTGATAATTTAAACTTTTTTCCCGCCATTTTGCGCTACTCGTTTACTTTTTCGATGACTAAAACTCCACAAATAAATTAATTTTGTACTAAATTAAATTATCTGAACATGTTTTTTACTTTGGATTCATTAGTTTTTCTTTAGTTTTCATTTAAATGGTTAACCTAGATTTTTTTAATATTGGAAATTTTTTAAATTAAATTACTGTAACAAGTAAGTTTAAACGTTGGGTAAATAATTATTTCAAAAATTATCTTTTAATTTAATTTTTAATAGTTTTAAGAACTTTTTTTTCGTATTTTTCTGCGAAAAAAAAGCACAAATAAATTAATTTTCAATTAACTTAACTTACTATAACTATTTTTTTGCTTGCGTCGTTAATAATTATTACTGTAATTTTCTTTTCTATTAAGATTGCTTGTAATTAATGTTTTAAGTTTCTTAGTTTTTAAAACAACTTCTAAAAATTACAAGATTATCTAGCAATTGATAATCTTCAAATGTTCTAAAAGCATTAAAAACTAAGAAACTAAAAACTTTATTAATTACAAGAAATCTTTGTCATATATATTATAAATTTATTTTTGTACGTTAATTTACATTCTATAATTTTTATATTTACACTATATAAATAAAATGTTATTATCTAAAAAAATAATGAAAACAAGATTTAATTATAATAAAACATAAATTCTAAATAAAAAAAAAACATAAAACTAACATAAAAATCTGGTATAAGGTATAACAAATACTATTATCTAAAATAGCATTTATCTATTATATTCCTTGTATTATATTCCTTGTAATAAGTTACTGCAATCTTTCATTTATTTTTAATTTTCATTAAAAATACATTAACCTAATTTCAGTTAATATTATTATTAATCATTAATTTTTGGTTAAAACGTCATATATGAAATTTGGGTTTAATATAACTTGAGTTAAAATGGAATAATTTTCATTATATAATACACAATATCTCTAAATTACTTAATTCGATTAGATTTCTAATGAATTGTGATTACAAAATTTATATTAGCTATATTACGTAGACATAGATCTAAATTAGACTGAGTTCTAAGTTTATTTGTTTTGGCATTAAATCCTAATTTAAGTCACTTCATAAAATTAATTTACACCTGTTACAAATTACTCCTTAGTAATTACTGTTATTCTGAACACCCCCGATAAAGATATTATTTTGAATATAGTACGAAAATAAACGGGTGTTTCTGAAGTATTAACAACATTTTAAAGGTTATATTAAAAATGAACAAAAAATATTGTTCACAACTTGTGTAATATGAGAATAGATATCCCAACAGAATTAAAGAAAAATTATCAAGCTGAATTTTTAGAAACTTGATGTCAAAAATAGAAAATTGTTTATAAATTCTGCCGGCAAAATTTATTTATAGAGGTAATTTGAAAAATTCTCATTATTGTGATTCTCCCTGTAACGTCAAATGTTCAAAAGCAATATAAGCCAAATATACAATTAGATGGAAAGCGGTTGGTTGTATTATTTATACAGTGTATGAAAAAATGTTTGCAACACTATTGAACTATAGAGATATTATCCATTTACTTCGAACTTTTTTGTACACACTCTACATATGCGGTATATCATAGAAAGAGACCTTATAAAAATATTGTAATAATATTTCACATCATTAGTATTGGCTCAAAAATATAATTGGTGTATTTCTACTGAGTTCAGCGTTCTTAGTATTGCTTCTTTTAAAGCGATATAAAGTATTGGCATTTTTAGCATTATCACAAATTTAACAAGTACAGAGCCAGTATAACAAGCATGCACACACAAGGATTCGATCTGTAAATTTCCAAGACTTATTTTCCAGGTAATAAATATGTATAAATATAAAAATATATAAGAGATCTGGTATTATTATTTTTTTATTTTAGATAGATTTCTTTGTAATGTATACCTAATTAAGTTTTTTTTAGGATTAGGTCAGAGATGAGATTTTTTTCCATATTTGAATACATATAATGTTATTTGAAAACATATAATGTGATTTAATAAAACATAAAATTTATTACTCATATTCCTGAAAAATGTCTCGAAAGTTTTATATCGAAAACTATTTTAAAAATAAAATAATTGAGCTTTTAAAGTTTATACCATCGCAGAATTATTATATTAAAAATAAACTAATTAAAAATATTTAATAAATACTGAACTGACAACGACATCTTTTACAGAATTTGGAAAACTTTTAATATAAATTTCTTAACCACTTTAAGGAAAGTGTGATGAGATTTTTTATATGCGGTTTAGATGCCTCGAACTGAATAAAGTTAATAAAGATTTCCTAATTTTTAATGGAAAATTTGGCAAGTTCAGCAAAAAAAAATACATAAAATTTATTCTTCTTGTTGAGACCAGATTTTTGCACAAAAACCTAATTTTTTTACCGTCACTTCTTCGTTTTATGAAAATATAACAAAAAAAATATTAAAACTAAAAATTAAATAATAGAGTAAAACTATTTCTTGCAGTTAATTATTTTATAATTTAAAATAAAACTAACATGATTTTCAATTAATTAATAATACTCGACATAATTAAAATGAATTCTCCACTTTCATAAATATCTCTAACTACAGTAAAATGTTGTTTTTCTCTTAATAGGTGAATAAACAATTTTAATTTTATAAATTAACTCGTTTATTATTCAAATTTGCTGTAAATGGCATGTTTGTTATTTATCAACTCAGACTTGCACCCTACTAATTCCGTTATTTAAATTAACGTAATTGAATTATTACATTGTTTTTATGTCTTTTCTCCCAAAGGAATAAGCATTGCAATTCTTTTGAATTTATTTTACACTTACAGAATTATGGAAAATTTCCAACCCTGTATGTTTCTAGTGTATGAACATGTATCTGAAATTTGTCATTTTTATTTTTCACCTTCAATTTAACGTTTAGTTCTTTTTAGCTTGTACGCTTTTCAAGATTTACTGCCCACTTAACCCAGTCAGACATTTCTTGCAGTCTTTATATTCGTACAAATTCAAACTAAAAATGTTTCTTTGAATTCGGAAGTACGCACATAAATTTGCATTAACTTTTATGAATGAATTATAATAAGTTTGCCATTTACATGAGAAAGTAAGAGTTCGCTCTTTAGACGATTCCGACGGTTTGGCAAAGTTTTTTTTCCTTGAAAAGAAAAACAGAATTAGGTAATAAATGAATTTAAATAATATAATTAGTAAAGTTATAATAAGTTTAACCTTCCCTGTTCGCGAATTAAATAATTTTATAATATTTTTTCTATCACAGGAAGGACAATAAAATAAATTAATGATGTAATCTAAATAATTTAAATAATGTAATTAGATCAGATTATATGTTTTTAGGTGGGTATAGGCTTGGTGCATTTCAGTAAATTTTTAAAATTTTGGAAGTTTTTTAACCATAACAATAACCGAATTTTCATAATTAGTAAAATTCCCTTTGTATTAAATAATTTCAAAAGAATTATAATTTTATTTTGTCTTGGGAGGAAATTTAATATTCACAAAACCAAGTAATAATTCAATTTGACTAATTTAAATAACGTAATTAGAAGGTGTAGCTGAGATGGTAAATAATAAACAAGAAATTTAAAGTAAATTCCAATAAAATTAAGCGGGTTAATTTAGCAAGCTGAAACGTCTATTTATTTAATATAAATAATAAAATACATTTTACTGTAGGGAGTGATATAAAATTAGAGAACTCATTTTATAAGTTCTGATTGAAAACAGATTATTTCCTATTAAATATTTTGGCGTTATATAAACCATCATATTATTTAAAGTTGCATTTACTCGTGATTAATACTATATATAGTTTCAGATTTAACATACACGGAATATGGCTGAAAAGAGCTACATATATGACTGCATATTTCATCATAATCTCTTAGTTATGACGAATTTATCATTACTAAGAAGCTATAAAGAAAAAAATCTTTTTAACTACCGCATCCAAAAAAAGTTTATTTACTGAAAAGTTTTATTTAGAATGATTTTAATGGGGCCAACTTTTTATGTAGTTAAATTTAAATATATTAGTAGTAAATCACAGATATTAATTTCTTAATACCCTGTATACATTTAAATTAGTTTGAAGTAACTAACTGATCAATATGAAAGATAAAGTTAACTATATCATAAATAATATCTATATCTTTGTGGAGGATTCTAATTTTGCGAAAAAAATATAAACCTAAAAAATAATTTATTATTTCTTTTTTAAAAATTGTATTTTAATTATTTCAAAGCACCAAATATATGAAATGTTTCTACCGCAAAACGGCGGTTATTGCACATGTAATCAGTATTCTAAAAGCAACACTTCGTTTACAACCATGCAATTGTAACAGAAATCAAAAAATCTGACATAAAATGAAATTCCTGCGGCAAAATATGATTAGAATATTTTTAATTTGCACCAAAAAACTATCGAATAAATAACATTCCAAATATTAATTTATTTTACTCTATCAATATATCTGAGAATATTTTTTAATATAGAGAGTATTTTTTTTAGTTATCTTAAATTGAGAAAGAGCGAAAAATAGAAATATTTTCGTAAGAGTTCGTAATGAATATGCAGGAAAGTAGGAACTGATAAAATATTATTTTGACGCGCGAGCACCTTTCAAACACTTTATTATATGGTTGTCATTCTATACTGTTTCAAAGTAAACCGTTGATAAGTAATCTGGATTACATACTGTGACTGATTTAATTAAATCTGAAGTTTAGACACCATTCAAAATAACTCCTGGTCTAGCTTTGCCAGATCTATCCAGAAGCTCGCACCTTAAAGTGCGAAAATGTGTTAATATTAACGTATTCCAACGTGTTTCCCACACTAATTGGTTTAGAATTAATTGGTCTAGCTATTTAATAGTACCCACTGATTGAGTACGAAGCTAGAATATTTTACCGTGCATA